GACTGGAGCTCAGAGGGCCTCACAGATCAGGGTCAGGAGGGTAGTGTTTCTTCCAGGACTCTAGGAAACCATGGGAGGGTTTTAAGCTGGAGGATGACATGATCTGATTTACATCTGAAAAATGAAGTGTGTAGTGTACAGCTGTAAGTGTGTAGAGTATGCACATCATAGGAGTATGCACAGTTTAGTAAATAAAAGCACAGAATCCCCAGTTAATTTGATTCTTAGATAAATAAAATTTTAATAAGAGCTGCAGTGGGAAAACCAGGAAGGATACCACTGCAAGCAGCACAGGCCAGAGAGGTTGGTTTCCTAGACCAGGGCAAGGCAGCAGAGCTACAGGTGGGGAGGGTTTTATTATAAAAAGTTATATATAAAAATGGAAATATTTTTTTAAATTACATGAAATCTCACACTTTAGCACTAGGCTTTCCATTATGTAGGCAAGTGAAACTGGAAGCAAACAAAATGTAGGAAACAGAAGAAACCAAGGCCTAAATTACAAAGAACTTGAAGCTGGAATATCCATCTCTTCCATCCCACCTCTGAAAATCAAGCAGACCTGGGGAGTCTGTTTGCTGCTCCGCCAGGGGGTCTTCACCCCAAATACTTTGCTTTCTTAAATAGAAATTAGGTGGACCTAATTTATGCCTGGAAATATATATATATATATAATGACTGAATTCTGAAAGCAGCAACCAAAATAAGTTTCAACCGTGGTCACGCATTTGAGACTGGTAGAAGATGCCCATGAGGCTGTTAAGTCAGTGTTCCTAAGTATGGTCCATAGTACAGCTTAGTTAAAATGTTAGGAAGAGAGATTAAAAATGCAAATTTAGGGAGCCCTGCCTTTTACTAAACTTACTAAATCCAAGTCTTTAGGGGTGGGCCCTGGAATCTGTATTTTCACAAACTTCCTAAATAATTGTTGTGCATCTTGAAGTCTGAGAAGCTCTGCCTTAAAGTGACTCATGTTATACCAGGCTATGCCCTGGGGAGTGTAAAACACAGAGAAGAGAGTCGGGACAACAGTTACAGCTGGGCCATAAAAGTAACACAAAGAAATGAAATCATACCGAGAGATAATATTTGTTAATATTTTGATGTCTGTTCTTCCAAACTTGCTTTTAGGCACGTACACTATTTTTCATTAAACAAGGTGAGGACACACTTATATTCTATTTTGATTGACTTCATGAGTATAATATATTTTTTTCATAAAGACATTCATTTTTCACGCAAAGCTGGCTGATGAGGGTGAGGTGCAGGGGTTGGGGGCAATGCCTAGAGGGAAACTCATCTGATCAGGATCTATGTCTTTAATAAACAAAGGAAGTATTGTTGGGGGATGGAGGGCTGACATGATAGAATTAGAAACATATTTTATTTTGATACAGAGGTTTTCTCTGATTGGTGGATCTCTGGAAATAACTTGTGTCATGAATATGCCTTGCTGGATGAAGAAAGCATTTTCTAAAAAGCCAAATGCAAAGAGTTTCCAGACAAACAGGCATCGCAAGCAACTGTCAAAGATAGCACCATGTTGAATATTGTCATCTTTTGTCCATCTGCTTTCTCAAAGACTTAACTTCTTTCTTGAATTACAGGAATGTTGAAGGAAGAAGGGAGACAAATTCTGGCACAGTAAGTGTATGTATTTTATTATTTTGGACATCAAGTTGGAAAAACCTCAGTATTCTCTTGGCTTCCATGCCTATTCAACCTACAAGCTTTTACACTGTTTTGTTTTTCATGGATGAAGTGTTTTGGGCATAGGGTTGCCAGTTTAGCAAATAAAAGCACAGGATTCCCAGTTAATCTGATTCTTAGATAAAATAAAATTTTAGTATGTGTCATACAATATTCAGGATATACTTCCAGTAAAAAATTACATATTGTTTACCCAAAATTCAAATTTATCTAGATGTCCTATATTTTATCTGGCAATTCTATTTGAGTAGCTTCCTATTTCAGAGGGAAATGTTGGTACAGAACTGTAATTTCCTTTCTCTGCAGCTGTACTGAGATATAGTTGACATAGAACACTGTGTACGTTTAAGGTGTACAATGTGATGATTTGATACAGGCATATACTGTGAAATGTTAACCACAGTAAAGTTAGTCAGCACATCCCTAACTTCACATGATTAGCATTTTGTTGTGGTGGTGGTGGTGAGAACATTAAAGCTCTACTGTAATAGCAACTTTCAGGTATACAATACAATACTGTTAACTATAGTCACCGTGCTGTGTATTAGATACTTGGAATGTACCCATCTTAGAACTGAAAGTGTGTACTCCTTGACCAACATCTTCCCATTCCCCCCACCCCTCAGTGGCAGGTAACCTCCATTCTACAATGTTAATCTATGAGTTCAACGATTTTAGATTACACATATAAGTGAGCCCATAGAGTATGTGTCTTTCTCTGTTGGACTTATTTCACATAGCACAGTGTCATCGAGGTCATTCCCTGTTGTCCTAAATGGCCGGATTTCCTTCTTTTATGTAATTTCTTAATTAGAAGTGAAAAACGTTTCAGTTAACACAGAGAGTAATGTGCATTTTTGTTCATAACATCTTTCTACAGTTCAGAAATGTTTATTCTGGGGAAAAAGAAAATGAATTTGTCCAATTTAACATCAGCTACATGAAGAAGGCAGTGGGCAGGGAAACCAACTTTCAGTCTGGAACACTGGCTGAAATCACACTACTTCTTGCTTTCTTGATGTGACTGGCGCTAGGGAAAGCAGTGATTGTTCTTATGCATGGGGCTCCCTTGATCTTTTGGACACTGGTCTTGCTCTGCAGGTAATGATCCCTGCATGTGCTCATTACCTCCCAAATCTGTGTACACAGAGCTATATTCAGAAGGGAGCTGATGCTCCAGTAAGAAGCAGGTCCCTAGGCACAGAGACCAGCACTCTTAATTGATAATGAGCCAGGAGAGGATGGGAATGGGAGCTCTGAGAGCAAGTGGAAGAAGTGAGATAACTTACTCAATTTGTTTTCCTGGAAATGAAGACTTTATGTCAAGAATTCCTAATAAAACTAACTGAGGCACTCACACCCGGCTCCATAAAATGCTTAATCACCTTGTTGTTCTGTAAGAGCTTTTCTCTTTATGGGAGAATTTACCAGCTTTTTAATCTCCTTTATTTGATTAACATTAGAATCAACAACTGCAACCTGTGTTGAGTTCTGGTAAAGCATGGCAAAACTTATTAAGGAAGATAGATTTTTTTTAGGGCCCCATCTATAACAATCTCAAGCCTTAAGTAGCAGATCATGCTTTTAAAGTTTTATTTCTTTTGGGGTAAAAAAAGAGAACCTATAGTGACTTAAGGAGGACAAACACTACAATAAATAGTTATTATTACTCTGAGACATTTTTGCAGAGGAAAAATATGTTATTAAAACCAATTTTTTTCTGAGTTCAGATCTCTTTTTTCCTCTTACAACACTATTTAAAGAAAAACAAAATTGATCATTCTTAAAAAAAAAAAGGGCTTAATGATGACCTTTTCCAAATTACAATAGTGTGAATCTACTTATAAGAAGTAATCAGAACTCTGGAAGGGTGGAAGGTTTTTAGATTCTATCGAAAGTCCTCTGAGCAGAATCCTAGCAGGTATCTAAGCAGAGTCATGTCCCGTGGACCCTATGAATGGTTTCAGTGTGTCTGGGACAATAGGGCCCCAGAGACACTACATCCTACCAAGCCCCGGCCCCCATCAGCACTTGCTTTTCAGGATTCTCAGTCTTATGCTATCTCAACCCATCTACATTTTTCATACCACTTCTCTTAGACACCTTAAATTCTCCTGCTGTTATCTATGGGGAGTTTCTAAACACATATCTGGAATCATGCAAATCTGAGGTGAAGCTTTCACAAGTATACATCGGTATATGGAGAGATAAAAAAGGACACATCCAGTAGTAGTTTTCTTAAACTAGTCTTATTATTATGACCTTCCTTTTTCTTTACTCCCTCCTTTTTGATGTTCAATTAGCTCTGCCTTTATTTTTGCTCTGTTAATGTCCTTAATTCAGAAAATAAATATCCCTCACCCTATGTTGTTCCCTCCATATTTGAATGCTTTCTGTACATTACTACTCGTGTGTTTAAGTTCAAAGATCTGTGAAGCCCCAAACATTACATAACCATGGGGTACTTGTTTACTATTTCAAGAGATGGTATCCTGGTCTCGGAGACACCTTGCATGAGCAAAGAGCAGAAGGCTCTGGAGTTGCACAGACAGGATCTGAATCTGGTTCTTGTACCCCTGAGCAGGTAGCAAGTTCTCTGGGCTCAAGCTTGTTTTCCATGTAAGTGGGTCGATTACAGCTCTTCAGAGAGTTGTCAGAAAGTGAATGCTTCTACCATAATGTGTGCTGCACAGTGAGTGCTAAAAGAATCTTTGTTCCCAACCTTCTGCGTCCCTTTGGCCTCCTTACTCAGCACTCGGAGAATTAGATGAAAAATGCTCAGTGCATATATCAGGAATAAGAAAATGAAGATTCTGACACCAGTAAGTGTCCACAGTGAGACTGTTGACAGAGGAAAGCACTGGCAGAGAGACTGGTATGAAACTGAAGAGCTGGGTAGAGTTAATTCAGGAAGACTTTCTCCAGGATTGAGGTGAGTTTTGTAAGGCACCCAGAGCACAAGGAAAATGAAGGATTCTTAGAAAGGGATGGTATATTGGACAGAAAAGTGTGGGACATATCCCACTAGGGATATGAGAGAGATTTTTAAATGGCACATAGACATTAAACAGTGTGTAATCTGAAGGAGAGTTATTCCCCTTCCAACTCTTTCAACTCTTCTGATTGCATCAAGAAGAAAGTCTCAACTTGTTCTAGACTTTTAACACTTCTCTAACACGTAATCCATTATAACAAAGGATCAAATATTATAAATAGCAGGATCACAGCCATCAGGAGGCAAGACTACTTAGATAATTAAAAATAGTTTAACTTTCACTTTTTATTTTTCTTATTACTTTTTGTTTATGCTTTATTCCATTTGCATTGGTGAAAGATTTTTAAGCAGATTTAAATTTTAAAGAGAAGTAAATTTAAAATATTAAGGTAATTATAATGTAGATGGTACACAAGGCTAACCGTAATAACCGTGGCCCTATAACAAATGTAATTCTGGAAACACTGATCAAGGTCCATCCCTCTCATAAGGAAACAAACGAGGAAACTGAGGTTCAGAGAAAGAAGGTACTATTTTCTAAGATTACACAGCTAGCTCTCCTGGGAACCGAAGCTCAGTTCTCCTATGCTTCCCCCACCCCCACATCTCTCCATGCATCAGAGAACAAATGGTACAGTGCTGAAAGGAAAGTAACTGGACATAAAATAACAGACTATGTGCTGTCCTTTGTCAGGAAGGGACTGGTTCAAGAGAGGAGCCATAGAGAAGGCAAAGACTTGTACAGAACCTGTTTGGGGGTCTGTGCTCATCATCAAGTCTAAGGCAATTCCCAAGAACAGCGAGAGAAGTCTGAGTTGGCCTCAGAGGTTGTAGTGGCAGAGTTTCCTCTTGGAATCCAGTAAGAGTGGCTTGAACCCCTGCTTCCCCACTTGGTAAGGAATCAGTGTACATCTTGCAACTCATCTGTAAAAACCTTTAGGAATATTACCTAACGTTTATTGGGCACATTATCCACCAAGCCCCTTTGATGCATTATGTCAACCCCCAAAAGAACACTAGAAGGCAGTTATTAATATCTCACTTGGACTTCGAATGATTAAAGTGCTTACCAGCATCTCTAGAGCTAAACAAGGGCTGGAGTAGGATTCAAACCCAAGCAGTTTCAGTCCAGAGTCTGGCCTTAACCACAGTCCCTTGCTGTGAAAATTAAATGCAGAGAAGGGTTGTAAAACACCATGCGCAGTGCTTGGCACCTGGGAGGTAAACCGTCGGCACCTTCCCCAGCATCCCTCTCTGTCTCGCACCAGGGCTAGTCACTTTCAGCCCGGCATCCAGAACCTTCTGACTACAACTCCCAGGATGCACCAGGAGGAGAGGCTGTCCAATGAGGAAGCGCGGCCTCGCTTCCGCTGCCAGTTCGCCTCATCCAGCGGTAGAGCTTCGTGGACGGTGGGCAGGTGAGCCCTGACAGAATCGGGGTTTTGGACCGGACTGGTTTACTCGGTTTCAAATAATCCTATTCTGGTTTGGGGAGCGGGGAAAGGTATGAAGACGGTTGAAATTTCCAGGCTGCCTCAGGCTTCATCTTCAGCCGCCAAGATGTTTTCCAGCCCCCTAGGGTCCTGGGGCCAGAAGGGGCTGGGTGGCCCTGTGGGCCTGGGCAGGCTAGTGGTCTTCCGAAGGCCAGGGCCACGTTGCACGCCTTTGACGTTCTGATTCGGTTTGGGAGCATGAGGACTGTGAAAGCTTGGAGGCTGCCTTCGGCTTCGTCTGTAGGCACCAAGTGGCCGTTTGGCCAAGTGGCCACACCAGCAGCCCTCGAAGCCCAGGCTGGGCCAGGAAAGAGGGGTTGGCTTTTCGAAGGAACTCTGCAATGGCTCCTCAGGGGGAGGGCCTGAGCCGCGCCTCCCGGCCCCCAAGCTGGGCGTTAGTGCCTCGCTTGCAGCGGTGCTTTTGGTCTGTGCAATCTTGGCTTCGGATCCCTGCCTTCCCTTTGCTCGCAGAGCCTGGTCACCACTTCTCACCTTCTGGATAACTAGATCCCAGCTTTCTTGGGCATTTCCCTATCCATTTAGATTCCACATCCCTCTGAGTTTTTCAGTTTTCATTAATTTACATTTATCCCACATTTTTAAAGTTCTTTAATTCCACCATCCCCCCTCTTTTATTTTTTATATTTCCTTTCCCCTCAAATCTCAAACCTTTTGATTTGCAGTACCCAGTAAGATAGCTGCCATTCCCTTTTGAGCACGTAGGGTCTTGCAGTTGGATGCAAAGTATATTTTATTCATTGTCTGGAAAACATTTTTTATTTCCTTTACAGTAGCTCAGGAGTGAGTGAGTGAACTAGGATAAATTACCCCCGACTCAGGAAAAGGCAGAGGCAAGAAACTGACTTAAAGGTTAGTTTGTTTTCATTATTTTGGACAGGCAGACCCATAACTACCCACCTTACACATTGCTAGAGTTCTGTATGCTAATTGCGGTTTATTTTTTCCAGTCATTTTGAGAGGTTTGAATGTCTTAGGTTAGTTTCTAGAGAAACACCTCTTTACATTTATATTTGATACAATCAGTTTAGTATATGTACTGTATGTAAAACATAGTCATGTGTTTATTTAAACATTTCAGTTAACCAAAATTAAAATGTGTGTTGCCCTAACTCCCAAAGCTGAGTACAAGTGGCCATTTTGTTATCCTCTTAGCGTGTGAATTATAACTGAATCTTACCTTGAGTTTTACTATGAACCTGAACTGTATATGGACCTTGTTATTCAATAATAAGTTAGAAAAAGATGCTGAGCTACATAAAATTAGAGGTCTTATAGCATTGCTTAATTGTAAGGTAATTTATTAGTACTGAGGCTTTCCAAAAAGGGGATACCTGCATTTCCATTGTAAGGGCCCCATCTTGTGGATATAGTCTGAAGAAGAAATCTCAGTCTAATAATTCCAGGTGGAGGTGTTTACAGGTGGAAAATATCAGCATAACAAATGTTATGATTTTCTTTTTAGAAATACTGAAAAATTTAAGTATTTTCAAACTACACATAAATAGTTCTGACTTCCATTTTGTTTCTCTTTTAAAATCAGATGTTTAAGAATAATGTTGCAGACCATAAGCTAAAAATGGAAACCCTGATTAAAAACATTAGCATTATTTCTTTGGAGTTGAAGAAGTTGAAAGGTAAGTATGGAACCACTAAATTAAAATGTTTCCATACCATTATTATAAATAGTAGAGCCAATTTGTGCTTCTGCTGGGATATTAAGAATCTTACCCACTAATTAATGGGTTTCTCTATTTCTTAAGTAATATTTATGCTCTAATATGAACTAGGTCTTTAAAAATGAATAACATTTGAGCATTGACCTTGGAGTTAGCAGACTTGAATCTTCATCCCTCACTCTAACAAACTTATGTTTTCTGACTAACCTCTCTGTGTTCCCTTCCTTCCCTTCAGTAAACCGTTCACATTCTGCAAACTTCACTGCCTTTGTCCGTTAATCCTTACTAAGCCCCTAAAGTTCCTTACAAAGTAAAAGTATAAGTTGTTTGATTCTGTGAGTTATGGATTCTTCATTTTAATCAGGTTCAAAGAGTAGGATTAGACCTTATAGGTCATGATATTTAGTCACTCATCTCACAGACATATTGTTATTTTATCCTAGGCATGTAAAATTTCCATGACTGAATATCTCTAGGGATGGTCTGTCCCTTCCCAAATGTTTGCTGCATTGGAGAACTCCCCTTCTCACCAGTCAACCCATTCCATTTCGACAGTTTCTCTGTATAGACAAGATGAGATGCGTTCCTCCCTTTCACCTACAGATCCTGTTTCTAAACATGAAACTAAATGAGTATGTAGTTCTTCTTATGAATTAATTCAGAGTTTTAGAAACTTCCGCGGGTTGCAGGTTCTTTCTGTTTTTCTGCTCAGTTCACTCTCACTCCTCATAGTCATTACCTACAGATGTGGCCATATACAGATGCTCTCTCTGCCTGTGTCTCTGTGTAAAAGCCTCCAGCACATTTTCCCTTTCCTTCATGGGCCATATTTGCATCACATTCATATGCCCACAGCAGCCACTGTCAAGGGGAATGGGACTGCGGAGACCAGTTTGGACCAGGCAGGACTTGCTGCTGGAGGCCAGGAGAGGATCACCTCAAATGGAATCAAGCAGTGCCATAAAGAAGAAGAGGGGAGTGGTTGTTAGGCCCAAATAGTGAGTGCCCGCTAGGTGTTTCCTACATATTCTTCCTAAGGCAGCATTTTCCAGACTTTGATTTTGTGAACCCTGCTTTCTTGAGATTGATAGTATGCAGTAAAAATGGAGTTGAGGTTCTTATGGTCAGATGAAAGTTTGGGAAGTGCTTTATGCCATCCATGTATTTCTTTCACAAATTCATAGTACCTATTAAAGGCTCTGAGGAGTCTGATGTAAAGAAATCTGGTTAGCTTTAGTTAATTCATCTTCTCAAAACCAATCTTAACACTATGGTAAGAAGGCAAGGATTATATTTCTAAAATGTAAATCTGCTGAAAACCCTCATTGGTTCACCATTGTCCTCAGAATAAAGGCCAGACATCCTAGAAAGGACTGTAAGACCTTTGAACTATTTGCAAATCTACACATATTCTCTTTTTTGTGTCTGTGCCTTAATACATGCATCTTTTGAAATGCCCACTGCCACACCCCCACCTCCACCCAACCAGGTTAACTGCTACTTAATAGTCAAGGTTACTTATACTGGGAACCTTTTTTTAAGCCAGTATGTTATCTCTTACGCCTTTTCATGTCACCTATCACACTGTGCTGTAATTGCATGTTTACGTACTTTTCCTGTCATTGCACAACTGTAAGTTCCTTAAGGGTATTCCTAGCATGTAACACAGTGCCTAGATATAATAGGTCCTTGGAAAATGTTTATTAAGTGAATAATTGCTTCTGATGCTTACACTCATTTAAAACTATTAGAAAACCAAACTTGATTGTCTAACTGTTGCAGTTTGGGGATTATTCTTTCATGAAGTAAAATTATAATAATACATGTGATGGATATATTCCTGAAAAGTGGTGGGGTATGGCAGGCAGTAAGGATGCCAGGGACTTGGAGAGCTAGGCCAGGAGGGTAGACTTCTGGTGAACATGAAAGATACATTGAACACTCCTTTTACCCCACTTCCTCCCCAAAAATCACGTCAATAGCTAACCCTTATACTGTATTACCATAATCTGTGTACTCTTCCAAAGGCTGTGCATAAATAGACTCAATTGTCAAAACAACCCTATGAGGTAGAAAATACTACCTTTGGCATTTGCAGACAGGCATAGAGAGGTTAACCAGCTTTCCCAAGGTCACTCAACTAGTCATTGGGAAAACTAGGATTTAAATTTAAAGTGATTTAAAAGAGACAAAAATCCACAAGATAAAGAGTTCTCAAAAGAGTTAACAACAAAACAGAAGGCAATGGAAGCAAGCAGGGCAGTCTGAATACTGAAGTCCAAAAATCTAAACTGTGTGCTGGCAGGGTAAAGCCAAGAAACAGCCCCGAAGACTTAATACATGGTGACACCAGAATCTTTTGGAAATGGGGGTAAAGTTGAGGCTAAGAATAGGAAGACTGGTTAGATGTTTGTTTAAGGAGTTGTAGACCCCTGGGGTCTCTTCCCTACTCTGCATAACTGGGTAACTGTTCCTCCTCTATGACAAAAGACTTGAGGTTTATTCCCTGAGAGAATCTCTGGCCTGGAGCCACCAGCCACAAGTGGAGGCAGAGAATACTATACTAAGCATAAGTGTATTAAGAAACAGTAAACATCTATTTTTAAGACACCCCTCCCCACCCCTGACTTTCTTTTCCCACTTGGCTACAAAATATTGGCAGCCAGATTTATATCCTCAAGCAGGTTTTTTTTTTTTTCCAGGAATCTGACCAACCTAAGAAAAAGATACCTACTGATATCAGTATCAGACCTAAAGATACTGATAACAGGGGTTACCTGAGCAAAACACCCAGCCACATCACCCCACAGTGTAGACTACCATGGTGATAGAGCTTCTGATTGTCTTTTTAGTGCCACAAATGTAAAATATGAGCAAACTATGTTACAACAGATTTTTGAGGAAAATAACTAATATGAAAAGCAGAAAAAAACCCAATAAAAAGATTCAATCAATGAAGAAGCAGAAATTATGAAAGGAGATGAAAACTCCAAGAAACTATCACTGATATCTACAGAGAAGTAGCTAAGAGAATATGCCATGTCAATGAAAAGGAACTTGATACTGTAAAAAAAAAAAAGAATAGAGAACTAAAGGGATTCCTTGGAAATTAAAAGTGTACCAAATAGAAATAAATTCTGTAGAAGAGTTTAAAGATAAAATGAAGAAAACACCATAGGGGGCAAAAAAAAAGAGATGAAAAGTTTTAGGGAGGAAAAATTACAAGATCAGTGAAGGAGTCCAGCATCCAATAGAAAGGAGTGTTAGAAAGAAAGAACACAGACAATGGGAAGAAATTCTGTAAGAAATGATCTCACAAAAATTTTCAGATCAGAAGGATATGAGTTTGTACAATGAAAGAACCCAACACAATTGATGAAAATAGGCCTCGAAGTACAATACTGTGAAATTTCAGAACACGGAAGAACAGAAAACTCCTTAAAGCTTCTAAAGAGAAACAGTGATTAAGAATTAAAATCATATGAATATCCTTAATAGTAGTACTGATAGCTAGAAGAAAATGCAGTGATACCTCTGGAAATCTGAAGAAACATGATTTCCAACTTAGAATTCTGTACTCACTGGTGTAGAGAGAGAGGTTTTCAGACATGTAATTTTTCCCTCTCAGGAAGTTACTGCAGTTGTATTCCACCAAACAAAGAACAGATCAAAAAGAGAAAGACAGGAGATTTTAGAAAAAGAATACTCCACACAAAAGAGGAGTGAAGAAAGTGTAGGATAAAGGTGAAGGGAATATGAAGATAGGAGCTGTACAGCAGTCCTTGAGAGGAATCAGTCTTAAAGTAGACAGTCTAGAGCGGACTAGAGTAAACCAGAAGACTCTAGGAGAGGAGAGACTTTCAATAATAGACTAGCTCAAGCACTGACTATCTGCAGTGGGGAGATTTGTGATATTTTCATGATAATTAAGCAACAAAAAAAGGAAACAATTATTAACTGTGGTTGTTGGGGAAGCTTGCAGAAAGGGAAATGTCATGAGACAACTGTGAAGAATATTTATATTATCAGAAAATTTTAAACATTAAATACAGGGCTAGCAAAAATCATACTCAAGTATATTGGAGTGAGGGGAAGTTGAAAAGAGCTCCCTCTTAACCTTCTAGTCAGAGACAGATAAACAATACCTAAAATTGAAAAGTAAAATAAAATATGCATGCCATTTAGAGATATGGAGGTAAATATTAACACCCACTCCCCCCCCCAAAAAAAAAACTCAACACAAACACAAAACAACAAAAGCAACAAAAACAAAAGGAGTGAAAAAAGTTAAAAGTGGTTGCCTCTGGGAGATAGAAACTGCTATTTATTGTAACATACCTTATAGACCTATTTGATTCTCTATATTATGTGCATGTCCGACAGATAAAAATAGTAAGTTTGAAAAAAAAATAGTGTAAATCAAGTTTGTATAAAAAAAAAGTTACAGCTCACTAAGACAGCTGGCAAGTTGGCCTAAAGAGCCCTTCTGGTTAATTTGTATGTCATGCTTACTTTGTGGTACATAAGTCAAAATGGGACATACCAAAATTGTGGTTTGATCAATAAGGAGAAAACTAAATTAAGAATTAGGAAATAGCTACTAAAAGTAATAATAGCAGTCTGTGACATATATGGTACAATATAGTGTTTTCTATTATTTTTTACACAGAGCTCTCCCAGCTACTACTTTGTGACCTTACTTTACATTTTAATCATCCTGTGAAGGCAGATGACTTCAAGGAAACAGAAGAGATAAACCCCGTCTTTGAAGAGTCTAGAGTATCACATCTATCACTTGCTTCTAACAGCTTTTCTATCTAATTTCTTATTTGTTGTAAATTTATAACTATTTATTTTTGAATTACATCTCTGGGAGAATTGAATTTACTAATATATTTAAAATGATAAAAAAAATAAAAATATGAGGAGATGTAAATAATCATGTCATGTTCTTGAAGGCTCTTTTATTGTTGTTTTAATGTTTCAAAAAATGACTAATTTATTTCACTAATGGCCAGGAAATTGTCTGTGGGGTACTGCTCACCCTTTACCTTATGCTTGAATTTGCCTGAGGTTGAAAAAGAGTTTCTAAATGTTAAGTGGATGGTGTGCATTTATGTTAGTCAGATCTCTTCTGGTACGAAGTGCCAACAACATTGTAAGCTAGCTGAAGCATTTACTGGGTCATGTGACCCAGTCCACTGTTGGGGTAGATTTCAGGATGCCACTACTTCAACAAATGTCTCCATCCTGGTTCTGTTTCTGTGCATTAGCCTTGTCCTCTCCTGTTATAGACTTGTTTCCTACATAGAGCAGACAGAAGTGGGTAGAAGCATGGCAGTGGACAACTCCAGGTGTAGAGCATACCTCTTGGGGACTCAGAGAAAAGAGAGATTCTCTTTCAGCCTCTGCATTTCAACATTCCAGGGAAGGACCCTGATACTAGCCCAGCTCGCTGAGACACTGATGAGTGAGGTGCTAAGCAAATGTTTGGTGAGGCTGGGATCATATGCCAGGTCTGTGGCCAAAGGAGGGAAGGTTCCATCAAAAGAATGGAGTTGCCATGGCCTGAAGAAAGGGAGAAAGAATGCTAGTCATAGAAACATCAGATACTCACTGATTTCAGTCATAGGGGCAGAATAGCTTTTTGTTTTAGGATACCTTTATCTTAAAATGAATTTTTGTCCTTTTCCACCAAAAGAGACTTAAAATAATCTTTGGTTTGCCTTGCAAACAGAGTTCACTACAAAATAGCTGCTCTGAAATCTATCTGGTTCTTCATTTTAGGTAGTTTTGAACATAAAGGAGATAATACCATGAAGCAGGACACAAGGCCCACTCTCTCCATCATAGAACTTGGAGTGTCTGCTATCCTCACTCTCCAGCAACTCACCCATGTTTAAGGAAGAACAGGCACTGTGCAAATGCTTGGGAATATGCTGTTAAATAGACATGAAAATGAATGCAGACTTTTCAGCTTCAGAATTCCCAAGTTCTGGACCCTAAATTAGATTCTCTAAAAGTTTCCACTCGATATCTTAGCAAATCATCAGTTTTAATCCAGTGACTTCCAAGACCCCTTCCAATGTTACTTAGCTCATGAAAATGAAGATGAAAAATACCCTTTGTTGCTCAGAAAACTTGTAAATTAAGCAGAGAAGCCCCAAATTTTTGTTGTTAGTAAAGTTTGTGAATAACCAAGGCTCCCAAGGAGAAAAGTTATACAGCTGAATGCCTGGGCTTTGTTTTGCTAAATGCGCACTACTTTTTGTTAAGACAGATAGTAAGCAGAAGGAAAGAGCTGAATTGCTTCAAAGAATCTATAAAACTTTTTGTGGAAGGATGAGAAGGGCTTTATGGCAGTTGTCAGAGGAATAAAAAGAGATAGAAGAAGGTATCCAGTAGGAAAATCTGGTCAAATTTGTCTGCGTGTATGCATTGCTCTTCATCTTCCTAAGAAGACTTTGGTAAAACCTGCATCACTTGAAAATATTTACGGAGTTGGGTAGGAGGGTAGAGAAAGTCGGATGTGGGTATTGGGATATGAACTGAAATCCAGGTGTATTTGACACCAAAGTCTCATCTCTAAATTTGAAATGTTTTCTTTTGGTATTTGTAGCTGAGATTTGCTCTAAAACAAAAACAGTATGTACTAAATAATAAAGTCAATAAAGTTGTTTTAGGAACCCAGAGGTAAAGCAAAAGGCAAATTAATTTTAATCCTAGGAAGTTATCCCATCATTCATTTATCTTTTCATAAAAAAGTATACAAAACTCCCCCAGCAAAAAACACCAAGTAAAGAACAAGATCATTTTGAACTCTCTTAAATTATTACTGCTATGAAAGTGAATTTTTGTTATTTTCAAGTTATACATATAAAAGTGATGATCACCTCTGACTGACAAAGGTTTGGCTATAAAAAAAAAATCAGTTTTATGTGATACCAAAAACTATTACGGTTTCAGTGTTTTTAAAATTGCCCCAACTTATTTCTGTAGCTGTGCGAAACAGTGCTTTGAAATGGGTATTCAAAAATACACATTTTAAAAAATGAATTATTCTAGTGCCTTACTAGACTTCAAGTGTGAACATTATTACTCATGCACTTTACAAACAATGAAGAAGAATAAATAAATTATGGGATATTTGACAGTCTTCATTTCAAACACATTTCTATGCAAAAGGACAAAACCCTTGTGTTCATGTTGAAAGGTTGGACTTGGTCCTGTGTGTCTGTCCATTCACCAAAGTTGACTGATCTTCCCATGCTGGCAACAGAGGCAGGAGGAAGGCTCATTTGCCTGGCTAACTTGCTAGAGATACCCTGCGGAATGAGTTAATGTGCACTGGTATCTGGACCCTCGGTTTTTCCCGTCAATGAGCAGAAGTGGCATTTTCCTGAAGTAGTCGATTATATCTGACACAGACAAAAAGTCCTGAAAGATTCAAAATGGGGAGATAAATCAAAACTGGAATAGGTAGCGTGAATTTCACCCTCAGTTTTTTTTATCTGCATAATACCCTACATCTTCAAGTTATGAGAATTGTGGGAAAATATATAAAATCTGGCAAATATTTTAATTACTTCTATAGAACTTTGAAAAAATAATTCTTTAACAAATCATAGACAAAAGACTTGGCAAATATTTTAATTACTTCTATAGAACTTTGAAAAAATAATTCTTTAACAAATCATAGACAAAAGACAAAAAGTATATATATATATATATATATATGTATGTATCTATAGGTAATACACACATATGTTTTCTTAACTTGATGGGGGTGACATAAATTAGACATAGGGGGTCTAATTATAGTACCCTTGCCTTAGGATTTGTGTACCCTTGCTCTATTTGTGGTTTTGGTTTTGGTTTCTTTATCCTTACTTCACCCTTATTCACCAACAACAGTGTGAGAATGCATAAGTAGTCAGGAGGTCAGCCAGCACCCCTGTGTCTGGAGCCCATATCTGTAGCATGGCACAATAGTTCTTTCACGGTTTCTCTGCTGTGTCCCCATTGCCACCTCCACACTCGCGGTGGCTCTGCAGCCGAGCCTTTGCATCCATGGCCTAGATTACCCTATCCCTGATGGCCAGGCTGGGGAAAACCCCATCCGTCCTTGTAGACATGGATCAAAGTCACCCAAGTACCCCCAGACAGGGTTCTGCATTTCCTTAAAGACTACTCTGGCCCCCATTCAGAGCACCTGCACTGCGTGGTGTACTTGTGCGTTTCCACACTAGATAACAGAGATCCTGGTGGGCACACATCTCTGCTTCCATGGGACTGTGCAGCTCTATCCACACTGAACCCAGTGATTCAAAAATTTGACCAAAATCGTGTGTTTTTTTCTACTTATTTACATGATAAGAACTTAAAAATTTGTGGAGTGAGGTGGAAGAAATGGGTGAGTTGTTTCTCATTCTGGAAATGCTTTATTTGGCTGATTCTTCTCCTGAAATGCTCAACTTGAAGAACGTATTTGAACATTGAGTTTAGCTATTAGTTTCCTTTACAAAAAGCAGGCTTTCTTTGATTACTAGTTCTCATTACCACCAAAAAATGACTAGCATTAATACAGGGTGAACAGATGAAAATTTCTTTGGCAAGTAAGAAATGACCCACATGTCTAAATAATCACCACAACAATAATTCTATTTCTTACCCCTTTTCTAGATGTCGATTTAAAATACATCTTTATAAAATGCTACAATATTTAAAATCATGCCACAGAAGTATACGGTAGAAGGGGCTTCCCTTTGACACCATCTAACTGGATTAAAAAAAAATTTAATGTGACTTTTAAAAGTTTTAGAAGTTATTCATATGATTTTAGACTATTTGGAGTAAGACACATAAGAAAGATTCTGTGGCAGTGGTAGCTACTGCTAACATTTCCTGTATTTCCTTCCAGTAAATGAAGGACTTCCCCAATGTGAATTAACTCTGAAGCTGACATACAGGATGGACTCCCAAAGAATATTACAGCAAAGTTTCACATAGGTATGTATGCAGAGAGGCACAAATAGAGAATCTGGGGAAATTTTACAGCTAGATGTCCTTACCTCTTTCCCTCGGAGTCCAGTTCCCAACAAGTAAACTTGGCTTTCCTCCTGGTAGCGGATCTGGATGTTGTAAACTTTATCTTTGTACAACACCATGAGGACATACGGATTGGTTATTGTTTTTTTAGAGCTGTCTCTAACTAGAAAAGTGCCATCCTAAAAGGATAAATTCTTGTTATTATGGGAGCAGTGAAAGTCAATACTTCTGTTGCCTGTAAACAGTAGCTAAGCCTCCAGGGATCTGTAAACCTACCAGTTGACAAGGAGTGAACATTTAGTTCCCCAAACAGCCACTGTGCCTTGTCACAGATTTCTTCGTTGTCAAGAAAGAGGCAGCAGGAATTGTGTCAGACAAATTTACAATTTTCAGAGATCTCTTTCAAGCCACTTGATGAAAAAGGAATCCCTTTTTCGGTAATAAAACAAATAATTGGTGGTTGAGTGAACACAGGGCCTGGCAAAATAAGGACTTTATTGGTTTACTAAAGATGTTTCATAGTACTCCTGAAAGTTAATTCCCTAACCCTTTCTTTCTACAGCGAGAGTCAGAAAGCATCCCAATGCCTATTAAATTCACCTGTTTTAAAACCTTGCTCTCTCTAGCAAGACTGGCCCATCATCAAACAACTGAACAAAATCAAATATGGACCATTTGTGTTATCACCCTTTTTTTCTGATATTTACTAAAATAATGTGATTTGTACTGCTTTTTAAAATTTCATTACTTAAATTGTTGTTATATAATATTAATGCTATAAATATCTAATATTAGAGTAGTATTAGCAAGGCTCCATGCTTTTAAACCACCCCCTCCTCCATGGCTTTAAATAGCCATCAATCTGAAATAATGGCTTTCCTTTGTTCTTTTTATTTCATGTTAATTGAGTAAATTCCAGTCAAAACATATCTGTTGAACAAATGTACCTGTGAATCAGTGATTACAGACTTGGCTTGATGTCAGGATCTGGAGTTTTAAAGATGCCCAGGGTGCCCACATAGCACCCCAACTAGTTAAATTAGAATCACTCCAAGTGAGACCCAGGAATTAGAATTCTATAAAGCTCCCCCGCTAATTTAAGTTTGCACCTAAGGTTGAGAACTACTGTTGTAGACTTGAGATGTGAAAAATTAAGGATCTTTGCTTTCCCCTCTCTTAAATGTAGATTTAAAGTTAAGATGCAGCACCAGACCGCAGGAAATCTGGTTAAAGACAGCGAGAAATTTCTAGGGGAGAGGCAAAAATGTTGCTGCTATCTCTCTCTCTCTGATATGGGCCCCTTCATCCATGTGGATGGCAACATGTGTATTAAGAGGAAGACAGAATTGCTAAGAGGCCGGAAATTTGGGGAGAAAGAGTCTCCTTTTGACCCTGTAAGATTCCTATAACAAGACAGGCCCTCTTGTTAATAAAATCTCCTAAGATTCTACCAGCCAAATGACTCTTAATTTAGATCATTCCCAGGATCCAAGGAATCACTGCCATGCATGCTGGTAGATGTAAAGCTGGCACTAATGGGCCCCCTCGGTATTGCAGCATGAACAGCATGTGGCAGAATTCCTAACCCATAATTGGCATTCAGTAAAAGTCAGTCCCTTTTCCTCCTTCCATGCGTATTTATAACCATTTAAAAATAAACTTTAGCACAGTACCTGGTTTATCTTTCTAAGAGCAGCTTCTGCCTCTGGTCGAGTAATATAAGAAACATACCACTCTTCATTTAATGAATTCTGAAAAGGTAAATTTTTAAAACTGAATACGTTTTGCAGTTACATATGGAATTGAAAAGAAAAGCCTTCAAGTAATCATTTTCATAAATTATCCCCTTAATTCTATGAGGTTTGAAACATTTGTCTTCTTAATTTGAATATAGAACCATAATGGTTAGTTGGGTTAAAGAGAAGCTATTTTGCTTGAACTACTTTTTATCATGACACCAGTTCAAAGGTAAAGGTAGCTGTGAATAAGCATTCCATATATAATAGAACCTCTAATCAAGAAAGATATAGATGTAATAATTTACTCAGTTCAGTATAATAATATACTTAATGAAAAACCTGAGTTAATGAAGTTAAGTGACATTTTCAAGGTCATAAGCTAGAAAACAAATGAAAACTAGAATTATTTTCTTGTTAAATGCAAAACGCACATTTGCCATTGGAAGACTGAAAGAACACTAAGGAAAAATAACATTATTTTTCATCTGGATCCTCCCCTTTAATTTTTTCACTAAAAAAATAAGGCTAATAGAAGATTAATAGTATTCAGTGGGAGTTTCTGATGATTCATTTGCTGGGAAAAAGTAAAATAAAATTAAAACATGTTTTATTACCTCTTCTTCCCCAGGGGATGCTGGCCGGGGTTTGTTTGGAACTGGCAAAGAAAAGTTCCTGCCTTCAGGTCTGGGAGATGTTCTGTTGCTAGGTCCTTCAAAAGTAGAGCATTTTGAAAGTTAATGACTATTTTTCAGTTCTGTCATGACATATTTTCCCCACAAAATGCCCTTGCAATTGTCCCCAACAATTAACATTTCAAGAAACCATAATTTCAAAAATAATTTTTGCCTGTTCAAAACCATAAGGGCTGCTCAGGCATTATTCTTTACCCATGCCAGTGAAATTTTGAGAGCAGTACCACAAATTTGAGTGATTTATAAAATGTGCATGTTACATAATATAAAGGAACTAGATCTGTTACAGCAGGGACAAGAACCCAGGAGAACAAACTGTTACAGGTTTACAGGTAGAGTTTGTTCTCCTGGGTCCTTGTCCCCTCCATAACAGATCCATTGATGAAAAAGTCACAGTCATTTTGCTGTGATCCTCAAAAAGAATATTCAAGAGAGAGATCTTCCATGACTCCTGCACACCCAGAATGGATTCCCAATCACTGACGTGATGACAGTGCAATAATAAAGATAATTATGTTCTCGTTTTTTACAAAAAGAAATGTAAATTACCCAAGACATAGTGAGATCACCTCAAGAATATTGTTAGCTTTTGGAACCAGAGTTTGCTACCTACTGTTCTTTACCAAATTTCTGAAAGAGGTAGAACTATTCAGTTTGCATAGAAGACCCTACCAACCAGCACTTTGGACTCAGTTCTCTAACACTTCTTTTTCTTGTTAGCAGTTCCCTAACACTTTTCAAGAATGCGTTTCCTAAGCCCCGGAAAGGTTTGATTGTGTTGATTTGTAATTGCCACGGCTGTTTCCTGAGTGCCAGAACAGCTGTTAAGAACTGAAAAATTCTGAGTTGAATGTTCTCTTAATTATTCATGGTCATTCTTTTGTTTATTCAACAAGTGTTTATTCAGCACTCTTCTGTCCAGACCTTCAGTTAGGCGTCCGTGTAGGCTGCCTTTAATCCTCACAGCAACACCACAAGATGGGTGCTACCTCTTTTGGAATATGAGGAAACAAAGGCTCAGAGAATCTAAAATCACGTGCTCTTAGGGGCCGGGCCTTGACTTGATCCTGTGGTTCCCAAACAATACTCTGCCAACTAAGAATCCTCGGGGACTCTGAAACACCCAGACTCAGGAATCTGCATTTAACAAGCGCTGCAGGTGATTCTGCCCCAGGTTTGTCACTCAACCTACCATACACCACAAATGGCAAACTACCTGGGCCATTCTACTGGGAGAATAGAGTCACTTGGGAAAGGCTGAGGCCCCCTGAGCCCTGTCACTAGGATCATTTAAGCTGGCATTCTCTGTTTCTGAAAAAGCAGATCAGGTCGGCCAGAGCGGCCGATCTTCCTTGTCAAGGCTCCTAGTGCCTGAACAGGCCTCTCTATTGCCATCTTTGCCGTCCAACACAGCAGGCACTTTTATAATGTTTGTTGAATGAATGAAATCTAACCATATAGGAAAGTAATATAACCAAGGCCTATTTTGAATGGCTGTTTTAGAATTGAGGAATTATTCTTTTTTGCTTCTGCACCTGCAGGCCAGCACCATAAAGTCAGTAATCATGACAGATAATATTCTACTTTTTACTGCAGTCAGCTTCCATCTTTAATATCTAGATCTTCAGGGAAGCTGGGACAGGTTTTTGGACAATACACAGCATACCCTTTATCTTTCTGACACTGGAGCAGCCAGTAGAGAGAACTGATGACCAGGTGGCTTGATAGTTTTAGGGGAAAAAGGATCAATTTTGATTAAGGTAGTATTCCAAAAAATAATTATCCAACTATGTATATTAATAGTCTCCATCACCAGTCCATAAAACTAGTGGTCTATGGAACTTACTTTGGGAAATATCACAAGAGTTAAGTGTCTGGAGCTCAGGTGTCTGCAGGGGCTGTCAAGTAGCACAATGTGGGTTCACAAAGCACAGTGAGTTGTGGGCACTGTGGAAAATTGAGGGATATGGAGGGAACTGTGGAAACTATATAGTGAATATGGACCCTAAACCCTCAAATGCTTAGGAAACATTGAAAAATTAGTGCATTTAATTGGTGTCAGCAGTGGAATCTCACACATATGTAGGATGAAGTAGCCAACTGAATGTAATAGATGTACTCCTGAAAAAAAATGCTTACTCAAGCAGTAACTCAAACTTAGTAAAAAAACATAGTTTTCTATTTATAACATACATGGGTGTTCCTGCACGTGTATCATGACTGCAAATGAAAGTGTTTTGTTTGTTCCTCACAGCATTTTAAAACATTTTAAATCAACCTTTAAGAAACTTCACATTAAAAGCCATATTTCCAGTTTTGATTGAAAAAAATCAGAAAATCTGGCAAAACTAGGCCAGTTTCCTGATATGAGAAAAAAATCTGTTTATTAGAGTAACTTTCCATAGTTATTTGACACTCAGTCATTCAACAAACATTTTAAACAAAGCTAAACATGTGCCAGTCACTTGAAAGTTTTTAAGGATAAAATAAACACAGTCTAGTCCTACTAGAGACCTTTGTTGCTACTCAAAGTGACCCTTGGACCAACAGTGTCACCATCATGTGGGAACTTGCTAGAAATGCAGTAGCTCAGGCCCCACCCTGACACACTGATTCAGAATCTACACTTTAACACAAATCCCAGGTGATCTATAGGCACATTAAAGTTTGAAAATACTCTTAGCAAGCACTTATTATGGGCACCCAGAGGTCTTAAAAATTATAGGTCCTCACTCAGCTTATTTACTCAATCAGAATCTTGGGGGTTGGGGTCTCTTAATCTGTATTTTAAACATGCTCCTCAACTTGCAAATCAAGGATAAATTCCTTATAGAAACCTAAAACTACAGAGAAAGCCAAGCATAACTCTGAGCACCATATAAAAATAGCAGGGAGGAAAAGCTCTGTGTGGGAAGATAAAGACCCAGGCTGCCTGAGGAGGGGTGTGTGTGTGTGTGTGTGTGTGTGTGTGTGTGTGTGTGTGTGTGTGCCCTTGACACACTGCAGAAACTAAATTAAGTGCTGAATAAGTAAGTCAGTTTCTTTTAGGAATCAACAAAACCTTTCCCAAAAGACTTGGGGACAGTTGGTAATCCAGTCGGGAAGGCGTGTTGCCTGGAGTAGGTCCTACAGCGAGAGTACAAACCTTGAGAGAAGTATGAAGGCAGGGAGGCACTCTGTGGAAAGCTACTGTTACTGTGGAGACAGAAAAAAAACAGTGGATTTTAAGTGGGGTTGGGTATAGCGGCCAGATGGGCAGACTGGGTTAGGGAAGCCAGACTGCAAATGCTGCTTCCTTCGTTATTTCTTCCCATCTGCTCCCTGAACCCATGGGAGCTAGGCAAAGTGAAGGAACCCACAGAACATACTTTACTACTGTCCCAAGATGGACCCAAACCCTCAAGTCTAACAGGCTTCACAAGCCAAAACACCAGAAACAGCAAAACACTATGTAAAGGGGATTTAAAAGGTATTTTTGAAAGTTAGTTGCAGTTTAAGGCCTCTGAGTTTGAAGAACCACAGAGTTCTCTTTGTGGGAGAGAATTTCTCTTTAGGTTAGGAAAATATATTAATGGGCATATTGTTTGGGAGTAGTGAGTCCCCAGGGCCTAATGGTCCATAAGGAGGGTAGGGCGGGCAAGAAACACACAGAGAGCTGGGGGTGCTGCAGCAGACAGGAGCAGTGTCTATACGGACTGGGGTTGGGAGGGAGGACCGTGGGGGCCCTGAAGTGCTGTCTGCTCCATGCTGAGCAGGAGTTCCCCCACCCATTAGCCCCAAAGTCTGCTCAGCTCAGCAGTCTTACTGCCTGGTATTTAGCAAGAATGAAGGACAGGACCTGGGCCCAGTATAGATACAGCAGCCTGAGAAAGTGGCAGCTGGAAGAACAAGAAGTAAGCAGAAACCCAGAGCAAGAGGCACACAGGGAAAATGAAAAAAACAGAATCCTCCCAGATATCTGGTGGGGGTGGAGGGGTCATGCTGGTTGTTGAGTTTTCTACTGTATTTAGGGTGGGGACTGGGCCTTTCCCTTTGCTAAGTAATGGACAGGGTGAACCCAAAGGGCTAGATGCCATGGAGGACACCAGGGGGCAGCCTGGGGGTTTGTCTAGGGAGAACTGGCCTGAGTCTTTGTCCTGTTTTGCCTCTGCCTCTGGGCCCTGAGGAAACACCAGTCCTATTGAGAAAGCAGACCTGCTAGAGACGGAGCCCACGCAGTGAATATTGGAGTCTGCTCAGTCCAAGGTACACTTTCTTGGTCCTCCCATCCAAGATCAGGATGAACTCCAAGTACTTAGATTAAGAGGGTCTCTTGAGTGTTTGTTTGTTTTAACTCACAAAGTGAAAACATTCCCCATTAGCTGCCAATGGGTCCTTTCCAACCAGGGTGACCAGGGGCAGTCGGTTCTGCACTCCCCCAGCTGTGACCACAGAGACTCAAAGGATGGCAGCGGATTAGCAACTGTGGTTCTTTATGCTCAGCTTGGTTTTGCTTCTTAAGACCCCAGATGTTCTGACCATACTACCACTGGCTCATTTCTTTCTTCCTTAGCCCACTGACATCAGCTCAGTCTCAGTAGACCCGGACATTGTGTTAAGTTAGAACCGAATGACTGCTCCACAGACCTTTCTGAGAATGCTCCAGGCGTGTGAGACGATGGGAGGGAGTGCTTGGGTGATGGCTTGGTAGATCTTGAAGGGAAAGTGTTAGAGCTCATGGACAGCAGTGCTGGCTGGGGCAAAGGTCTCTGATGCCCTGGGTTGGGTGGGGGTAAAAAAAAAATAAGTCAGGTTGTCAAGATCCCAGTGTCATAAGAACATTCCAGAACTGCTCCCTAGTTAGAAACAGCTAGTCTAAAGGGATATGCAAAAGTCCAAAAGATCAACTATAGTTAGGAAATTGTAGGATGGGGCCCCACCCCAAGGTTTTTCTAGACAATTTCCCATGTTCAAATACATTTTAAAGTGCTACCATTCTGTATCATTCTCTATAAGACACATTAATTTTATTTTTCCATTTTTGAAATGCTAACTTGGCAGAAAATTGTCAATTGGAAACCATTTGAATTTCAGAAATGATTCACAGTTTTGTTTTATGAAAGCCAAATGTGCTATCTCATTCATCCACAGTTAGTGATCTTTTACCCACATGTGTTAGCATAAATATTAGGAATTTTCTATAAAACTTTACATATAATTTTAAATTTTACTATGCTATTAAGGAATTTGCACTGTTATGCATGAACTTAACAGTTCTCTTGGTAACCCAGCTGATTAATTCCATTTTATTATAGTTATACAGTATGCCAACCGATATGTCTAGTTAATATTAATTTAATAATTATAATTGATTCTGTGGGGTTGCTATACTAAATAATTCCACTTGAATGCCTGAGCAAAAAGTTAAGTAATATGTTATAAGTTTTAAGAAAGCTTTTATGAACATACCATCATCTTCATCCTGGTAAGGGGAAGAAAAAAAAGGATATTAACCTATCATCAAAACACAACTCCTAAAAAAAGAATTGTATTACTCCATCATATAAATGCCTCTGTTTCTTTCTTTGGCAGTTGTATGTCTCCATAATAAATATTTTGTAGAGAATGGTAGAATTTGCCAAGTGGTTTATGATTTCTTAATACAAATAACATCTAAGGACACTCCAATCTGAGACACATTATATATACTTAGCATAAAATAGGTTCTGTGATGCCTAAAAGGGCCCAAGATATAATAATAATGACAATACCTACTATGTGCCCCACAGATTCATATACAGTATTTCATCCAATTCTCCTAGCAACACTTCAAGAATTTAACATCCTCATTTTACAAATGGAAACATGTGGCCCCGGAAGAATTCTTAACTTGCCAGGGGTTACGGAAATGAACTCTACACCTCATCGGTCAGACTCAAAGCTCAAGTCTTTTCTGGGCTCAGCTTTGCAATGGCCATTCCTCTTAAAAGCAATCCCACTTTACTTATTTATAATGTGGTTTACAAGGCAGGGCTACATCACTCAGCATATTTATCTCCATGGCAACCTTGTGAAACAAGGGACAGGTTATTTGCTCTATGTCTCAGATGAGAAATGATATTCAGAGAGGCAAGAATGATTTTGCCATCGACTAGCAGACAGGGCTGCCAACTTGGACTTGTTTTGTTGCACCAGCACCTTGGTGATTAAAAAGCACCTTCCTCAGAACATTGCAAGGGTTAAATTAGTTATTACATGTGACTGGTGTATGTGCTGTGCTTGGCAAAAGTTAGCTGTTGTGGGTGCTACCACTGAGACAAGGCAAGAAGGATCACAGCTGGAATCATTCATTCCAACTGACCAACTGTGAGTCTTAGCAAAGGGCTGCATAAATACAAGCATATGGGCTCAGGGAATCCTCATAATGAAACTTCTTTTCCACGCTCTTGCAAACCCAAACCTGTCTTGTCCCCTCTGGCTTAAGAATATACGACTCCTAGATTCTCATGGCATGAGCCTCAACCTTACCAGAACCTAAGGAATATGATGTTACCCTGGCTTTCAACCTTACCTCCTCCTTGTCCCCTATAACTCTGTGGGCAAGCTGCTATCCTTCCTGTCTCCACAGGCTTGATAGGCAATGGCACCCACCTGCCTTTACTCAGGACCTTCCTGAGGCTGGAATGCACCTTAGGGTGACTCTGTTTTGTGACCTCCCCATTATTCAATGACCATCACAAATCTCACCTCTAAGAAATCAGCCCTCTACCCCCATAGGTCATTCTTTCCCTTTGTCTCTGTAGCTCACTCCATGACTATATGCTCTTCAGCACATTGGATGTGGGTTTATCTGTCTCCATCATGTCTGAGCACTTCATCTGAACAAGCACAGCATCTAGCACAGAGCTACAAAGCAGCAGGTACTTATGAGCTAAGCCCTCGAACAGGAGGATGGGTGTGATGGCCTTCAGAGGGCTTACCGTAAAGAGGAACTCTGATCTGCATTCTGAGACTTGCTACTTTTCTAGCTGTGCCACTTGTAATGAGTAGCCTACCCCTTCTCAGGTTCAATTTCCTCTTCATAAAAGAGAAACAATGATTCCTCATAGGATCATTAAGTGCAAAGCATGTGTAAAGCTGGGGTGACCAACTGTCCTGGTCCTGGTTTGCCTGAAACTCATGGGGTTCCTGGAACATGGAACTTTCATTGCTAAAACTGGGAAAGTCCCAGGCAAACAGCTGGTCACCCAAAACTAGCTAGTGTGGCAACATGCATATAGTAGGCATTCAATAAACCCTTTCCCCCCTCCTTTTCAGATAGTGGAGGTATCAAAGGGAAACAGAGGCCTTGAAAACTTTGCTGTGAGGCCAGACTCTTGGGCATCCTTTATCCTTTATCCTTCCTTCTACCCATTGCCCCTTCCCCTGCTAATTCCCACCTGGTAATGGGGCTGCAGTTAACCCAGCCACCCTGGGAGCTCTCACGGGGACAGGAGCTAACCAACTCAGCAGGGTGGGCAGGAGGGAAAGTGGAGGCCCTAACAGGTACCAGAATTTAAGAACCTACTGTGTGTGGGCCTTACTCTCATGCTGGACTCAGTGAAGGCTGAGACAGATACAGTCAAAACCTCCATGGAGCCTTCCACAGGTTTTCCCTATGCCAAGCATTCATCAAATGACATTTTGTACTTACATTCTCTCTTCTGTCTGGTCCCCATCCATGCCTGAAATGAATTAGGGTGCAGACAAAGAACAGAGCATGAAGAGTTGCAAAGAGCCAGCCTCAGAATACAGATAGTTTCATTTAATCTAATAAGGAGAAATCAAACCCACTGAACTGTGATAAAATGCAAAGCAAAAACCCCAACAGAAAGGCAGGGAGAGGGAGTGGAAGGGAGATTTGGTGACTCAATGTTCGGTCATTATTGCGAGCTGAGCTAGGCAAACCTTGATTCTGTTTAGCTACTGCGGCAAATAATTGCATATAAAAAAAAAGGTTTAGTCAGCAAACTAACTCTTTAGTAGCTATTAAATTTCACTGAGTAGATATTTCTCGAAGCAAACAAAAACATTTTAGGTAATTCTCCTTTGCTGATGGTTTAAAACAGCTATCTCAAGGCTCACCCTTTGGGTAAAAGAAGACAGCTGGAAAATACTGTTGTTTTGGGACTTCCTCCAGATGCAGGAACTAGTCAAACAGATTTGGTGACAGCTGCCTTAGAGCTAATGCAGGCAGCTGTACTCCTGGGCCTGTATCATGCTCTCCTTAGAGGGAACGACCGAGAAGGGCAATTTGTTGAACATGTCCTATCTTTGGATGCTTTAGGGGTCATCATTACATTCATGTTTATTTAAAATGTTGATATTTTGTTCAGTATATTTTTTTGCATTCATTTTGATTTTTTAAAAATATTTTAACTCAATTACTGTGGGTTTTTTGGCACACCCCATCCCTGGCATCACATTAGCCAAGCAGAGGCCACAGTTATGCATCCTGATAACATAGATGAGATGAACAGAAGCCTTGCTGATGCCTTAGTAAGTAGCAGGGCTGGCCCTGACCCCAAATACATAACGTGCCATTTAGTAAATAGGCCCCAAAAGACTTTACAGTAAAGTTAGAAATATTAGAGGAGACCTCAGCGTTCTACCATTACAAAATGTGGTTGAACAGTGAGAAAGACATTTACAGTGACCTAGAATCCTCCCCCAGTTATTTCCTCCCCGCTACCTGTATTGAAGAGTAATATGGAAGGTGCGGTCCCAATGCACTTGAGACAGAAGGAAAATGCAACCACAGATTTGACTGGTTGAGGACAGCAGTCATTCCCCTGCTCTTGATTAAACATCTCTCCGCTCCTTTCTTTGCTAGATTGCTATGGTCTTCAAAGGGTCCCAGGTGCTTTACATCTGACCTTAGGAGCCTGAACACGCTTCAAGTCACTGCAGCAAAATGGGCCCACTGCTCCCCTGGAACGCCCATGATTTTCAGATCCCATGTAAAGCGAACACTAAGCAGGTTGTTCGGATCGCCCGCTCTGAATGACAGGCTCAAACCCTGGAAGATAGTTACTTTGGCACCGGTGGTTTCTTCCCTGGCAGCGGACTACTTCTGTCATGCCTTTCCATGGAAGGTGGTAAAGGAAGCTTTTGTATTTTGGGTAAATGCTCCCCAAGAGGCCTGCAGAGTTGAGAGAAGGATGTGTGAGAAATAAGCTTAACTGCGGCAGTACAATTCTACAGCATATGTGGGGCACCCTCACGCAGATGCAAGAGAGCCTCTTACCTTCCTGCTGGGGTGGAGGGCTGCAAAACAGGAGGGATGATATGTGAGTGTCCTCAGCACTTTTCGAAGAATACATACAAGATACAAAACAAAACAAAAACAAAAACAAAAACAAAAACAAACAGAACGGAGAAACAACTTACTTTGTCAGAAAAGGCCGGTTTCTTTCCTGTCAATGATAAACAGCAGATAAGCCTTTCATTCCAGACTATATCAGCTAAGCACAAAGTATTAAAATAGTTTGATGAAACTGTGCATCCAAGCCCCTAAGAAGGTTGGTTGGGTTTAAGCATTGAAGAATCACAGACTTTGGGACTTGGGGGTCCTTTATTGAGCACCTAACTTTACAGACTCAGAGAAATTAAGTGACTTGCCCATGGCCACACAGTGCTGTGCACAAAAGCAGCATTGCGGATTCTGGGCTTCTTTCCACCATTTAATTTTATTAGTGGATAATGTCTTCTTGGGATTTCATACCTCTTTCACTGACCAAGAGTTTCTTTGTACAGCTTAAGTTTATTTCTGTATCTAATATAATCCCATTTGTAATAGATTGATTTTCCTCCAATCCTGTTGTACACTTAACATTATGTGACATATTACACTTAGTTTCTGGAAAAAATTTTAATGTGGGAGACAAGGTTTTAGGAAATTCTCCTGGTGGGTGGCAAATTGTTTTGTTTTGATTTTTGTTGGGCTTTTCTTTTTTTCCTCTTGTGTACCTGAGAACTCTGCATTGCAAAGTTATTCAAAGCAATTTATTTTTTATTGTCTGAAGTCCCTTAGAGTAGATATGGCCTATGTCTTCAATGTAATAAAAGTATTAGTTAACCGGATTCAACCAGGTCTAGAAGCAAATCCTGTATGACCTTTAGCAAGTTATTTAAGGTCTTTGAGTCTCAATATCCTCATCTGTCAAATGCAGATTATAGGTTAGAACTGTATAGGTTTGCTGTAAGGACCAGGTGACAATTTATATGCAGGGTCAGACACATGATCCATGAGCACCAACAATTATTAGATATTTCCTCTTTTTCCCCCCATCCCAGTACAGTGAGCACCCTAAGGTGAGTCATGATGTGATCTGTCTGGAGTTGTGTTTTCACAGCATGATATTATTCTTAAAAAGACTGAGAATATGCAAGCCCATGATAGATCCTAAGAATCTTGTCCCACTGTGAAGAGCTCACTGCTTAGTGAGAGAGAGAGGTTTGGTGGTATAAAAAATGTTTATTATTCATAAAACCTTGGTTTGGGTGGAATCCTAATTTATAAACATACCCATAAAACTTTGATTTATATCCTTTGGCTTGAACGGATTTTCTTTTGAAAAATAGGCTGATTTATGTATATTTTCTAGGCACGTAAGAAGTCTCCTGGGCACATAAAAAGTCTGAGCATTGTAATAGGTTGGTTCTCCCAAAATATCATGGACAAAGGAGTAATTCAGGGGTAGATCTGAATGATCTGATGTCAATAGCCCACTTGTCTGATGCTTCAACTCATGGTGGTAGTCTGAAGTTGAATATCTCTGTCTTCATGTTCACATAACTTGCACTGCCTTCTGCAGCAGACCATTCTCAACTCAAATAGCTGACATAGATTGGCATGAGTCATCAGAGCTGCGATGTAGTTCAGGGAAACAGCAGCAAGCAGGAGCCTCAAAGCTGAGAACTGAAAGCCATTTTGCAGGCAGAAGAAGAGACTGAGGCCACAAAAAGCTGAATGCCTCCCTCTGTGTTTAGTTAAGGGAATCTGGGCTTCTTATTCCCTAAGGCTTAGGGCTGCTTCCCCAGAATTCCCTAGCCCAGAGCAAGGAAAATCCAGGGTCTCCAACTGCAGCATGATGTGGGGGGCCATGAGCACCCACTTTGAAGTCAGAAAGACATGGGCTCAAATCCTGCACTTACTTATGCAAATTTGGGGAAATTATTTGACCTCTCTGAGCCTCAGTTTCATTGTCTGCAAAGTGAAGATAATAATCCATCCCCTTTGTTGGGTTGGTGTGAGAGTTAGAGATAATGTAGGTAAACTATTTGTGGTAGGTAAACACTTGCCCCAGAGTAGGTGCTCAATAAATGGTAGCGAAGTTTTAGAATTGAATTCAAAGCAGCTCTATGAGAGCTAGCTACAATCCAAAAGCACTATGGGTCAATTCTGGGGGAAAGGAATTGTAGTATATCCACAGTGTGGTTAACCGCACATGTACAAAAAACCCTGACATTTGAATAGCAATAGAGTTTTAAGAAACATTTTCTCCTTACCGAAAACCCACCTTATAATGAGGAGAGACACCTCTGAAAAAGTCTCAACACTGTGGTTAGTGAGCTGCTAAGTAGCAGTGGTGGCCACTGACAACAGCTGTCGCAGAGCTCTTGCCTCTTAGCCCAGTTCTTTCATCTGCCTCCACATCATCCGTTAGGGGACAGTGAGGTTTGTGGACACAAATCACACCTCTGGAGAAGCAGGCCCAGCACTGGGCTCAAAGTAGGAGCCCTGCCTTTGTCCTGATGTGGGTTTGGGTCTCTACCCTCATCACTTAGTAGCTGAGTGATCTTGGGAAGTTAGCTTTCTATGCTTCAGTTTCCTCATCGGTAAAATGATGATTCTAATAGTCCCCACCTCAGAGCATTATGGTGATAGTTAAGTAACACGGTACATATGAAAAGCAGTTGGTAAGCATGCTGTAAATACTGGCCATCATTACTATGCAACAAATAGAATGATACCAACCTACTGTGAAGGGCTCTCTGTCAAATGGGGCCAATGAACGATCGAGGGGAGGTTTTGTGCTTCTGTCTATTGAAGGAGCAGGCACTGGAGGGCAAAAGACTGAAGTCAGTTAAAGGAAGAAAGCAGTTGGCTGGGGGTGGGGTATGGGTGGCCTGGTGGGCAAGAGAGGGCAGTCCCTGTACTTACGCTTTGCTGTTTTGTGGTTTCTGCTTCTGCTAGGCTCTTCATGGTTGGGCTGGGGTGGGGGTAGTGGCTGCTTTAAAAAGATCCAAATGTTAGGAATCATTGCCAATACACAGAAAGTCCTGTTGGCTTTATCTCCCCAAACATGTCTCAATCTGCTCACTTTTCTCCATCTCTATGTTCCACCCACCAACATACATCTCCATTTCTCACCTGAACGATAGCCTCTTCTCTGAGCTCCCTGCTTTGTACTTTCTCATATAAGCCAGATATTTTCTGCATGGCAGTGGGGTGAGCATGTCACTCCCCTGCCAAGCCCTTTGGTGGCTCCTGTCACATTAGGAGCATGGTAGAAACTTACAATGGCCTGCCAGGCCCTTGTCTGAGCTGGCCCTGTCCACATCTCCAGTTCTTTCATCTGCCTCCACATCATCTGTTAGGGGACAGTGAGGAACCCCTTCTTAGGCTCCTCTCTCTAGTGCCCACCAGGCTCCCACTCTAAGTGTCTTTTTGCACTTCCTGTAAAATCTCAAGCTCATGACCTCTTTGGCTTCTCTGTACTTGTGTTTTTCTCTGGAATGTTCTTTTCCCAGCTCTTGCCATGATTGGCTCATTCTGCCTGTCTCAGTATCACCTCACACCCATGATCAAGTTACCTCGTTTTCTGTCTCCTAACCACACAGTATTACTCATATCTATTTATACATCTGTTTCCTTGTTGATTATGTCTCCCCCAATGCCCCTAACCAAAATTGAAACTTTATAAGAGCAGGGACCTTATTTGTCTTCATACTCTATTCCCAGTAGCTAGAACACTGCTAGGCACACAGTAGCTCCTCCTAAATATCGGTTGATTGAATGAGTGAACTCTGCATCCCCATCGTGGAGGTGAAGGCCTTCAGATTTCAAAAGCAAAATGCATTTGTATATAAATTCAGCTCTATGAGTCCCCTTTGCAAGAAAAGTGCACAAACAGGGGGGAGCCATCTGTTCTCAGATGGGAGGTCCTAACTGGTGTGCTCTGGATTTTGAGCTTGTGGGAAAATATATCCTTGCCCTCCCTCTAGCCCTGACTCTTTAGCATTTGCCAATGCTATGAAAGTGCGCAGGTCCCTTATGAAGAGAGCACATTTCCAGCTATTGACCCCTTAACCTGAACTTCTTGAGGTGTCTTTGGACACTTAATTAGACAAGTGGGACCTGGGACTGTAAGCTTGAGTTAAGACGAAAGGGGGTTTGCTGTCTCTGTCTCCCTGGGTTCACTGCACTGTGTATCTTGGCCTCCAGCACCTTTGTCCTTGGAACTTCGAGCATTGGCCAGCAGGTGGCGCAAGATTTTTGCAGGCGAGAAGGCCGCTTGAGACCCATGAACACCCAGGAGGGGGAGGAGCCATTTCTCAACTTGGTCCTCTCAGAGGCTATTTCAGTTTTCACTTATTTCAAAAGTGGGAAATAATGGCACAATAAATACTAGATGGAGTCTTTTTGTTGTACAAGTAGCTTATATGGTTTGTGATAAAAAGAAAAAACTGATGAGCCTTAGAATGTGAATAAAAATCACTAGTATTTCACCCCCCGAAAAATACTCCAGTGTCGGTACTTAGGTCTGCAATTTCTCAGCCTACATATAATCTTTTCTTACTAATCATAATTGGATAAAGATGTTTATAGTCTCCTTTTCTCTCTGGCATTGGAAGCAATCCGAGCAGACGCAGAGGACCACGACAGAAAGTGAGGAGGCCTACCGAATGGCTCCGTCCGGCTGGCGGAAGAGGAAGGGCCGCCATCGGTCTCTGGGGGGGCACAGGCGGCTGCTGTGGAACCTTGCTGGTGGCGGGCCGGTCTGTGGACACGCAAAGGCATTAAAATGATGGAGAACTGCTACACTAAGACAAGTGGGCCACGTTCAGGATTCCCCAGGAACAGACCCTGTGCCCAGCCCTGAGCACCTCAGAGCTCCAGGGGTTCCTATCCTGCAGACCCCCCCACCAACGCCAAAGCCAGCCCCCAGCCATGGCAGAGATTTGCTCCTCCTGGGTTTACAGGCACACACATACAGGCATACCCAGCTGCCTGGGCAGGGCTAAGTTGGCTATCGTGCTCATGGGGATCCTATTCTGTGTCCTCTTCCTCCGCCTCACAAATGCTCTGGGTTGTCCTCTCTATTCCCACTTCCTCCTTGTGCTTGTCTCTTCTGTTAAATGGAGGAGCTGGTCACCAACTTCTGTTACCAAATCACAGACTCTTAACTGGTTACTTTAACATGGCTTGGACAGAAACTTACACTATTCTGATCAACACAGAAGTATCCCTAGGCAGTTGGACAGGCTGGAGTGTCCCAGCCATTTGACAGGGAGAGACCTGGCTAGGGCTCTGTGAGTGAGGGCCTCCTTACATTTCACTCCTTGGGTGCCTCTCTCAGCACACCCTAATCCCAGACTGGGAGAGGTATCGCCCTTTCACAGAGAATCCTGGCTAATCTCATGCCATTCCACCAACACTGGCCATCTCTCAGCTCCTCTGACATGTTCCTTAGAGCCTCAGGGCCTTTGCACAGGCATTCCTACTGCTTAGAATGTTCTTGCCTTCCCACATTCACTTTCACCTTAGATATGTCCTTAGAGGTGTGAGCGCAGACCACACAAAAGCCCCAGGTTCACTGCCCCACTTATCTTTCTGAGTATAGATCATGGTTTAATTAAATCATTTAATGACTCATTTGTTTAATCTTGCCTCACCTGCTGGACTACAAATTCTTTAGGGTGAGGACTGTCTTATTCACTCTAAATCATCATTACTGGCACTTATGAGGTACTTGACAACTTAATTATGCATTTCTACTCTGAGCCTCAGTTTTCCTGAATATGAAATAGGTTTAGATAATTGTTGCCCATATCTCATAAGTACGTAACACAAAACAAAATGTTGACAAAATACTTGTGAAAGTGTTTAATATTGCAAAGTGTTACACAGCATCAAGGATTAGTGGTATTAATTTTTGTGATATTGACCATCAATTTTCTAACTTACTCCTTGATATTATATTATGCAAGTGTGTATGAGCTTATTTTCTGTCAACACTGCTAATACAATGTAAGCCCCGTGAGACAAGGGCTGTCTTCTCTCCTGATGATCTCAAATTTCAGCATTTAGAATGATGCCTGGCTCAGAAATGAATAATTTTTGTTGAATAAATGGATGAAAGGGGGAGAAATGGGCACACAGGAACAGATAAACAATGAAAATCTTAAATACTATTTAATTTTTTTAAAGTTATGGTCAAGCCCCACTCCATATCATTATATTTATTCTCACATTCTGTGGGTGAAAATGCCATATAACTATGAATTGGTCAGAAGATGGGGAGGAACAGGAAAGTATTCTTGAGTACCTAAGTTAATACACAATATGAGTTATTATTGTCAAATACCCTTAGGTGGCAGTTCAGTGCTGGTATCAGCCACCACAGACACTTGTTTGCAATATTAATAATCCTCAGAGCAAAACCATGTGGTCTGTATTTTACCTTATTTCATTGATGAGGAAATTGAGGCCCAGAGAGGTAAAGTCAGTTGCCCAAAGCCACATGGCTAGTAAGAAGCTGAAGTGGCATCTGCATACAAAGCTTTCCGCTGTGTGGTGGGGGTGGCATCGGTGGGGGCTGGGGCCGGGCTGCCAGGGCGCTTACCGATGTACATGGAGTTGGAGTTGGAGAAGGGCTTGGCGGGCAGGATGGAGTTCTGCAGAGCTTCCTCATCATTAGAGGGTGGTGGCTCATAATCGGCATCATCTTCCATGGGTGTCCCTTCCTCCTCATTTGGGGACTCATAGTCACCATCATCGTCCCCGTCCTGGTCATCATTGGGACTTTCATAGTCATCTTCTTCCTGCCAACACAGCAACAGAGACGGTGTTGTTTGTAGAGGCTGCACAGCATTCAACATGCCTGCCTCTACTCTTTCCCTGCCAAACCTCACAGTGGTACTGGCTTGGGGGCAGGCAGCTTAGGATGGTTACTCCCATTTTGCAGATGATGACACTGAGGTCAGGGAATGCACTGTCACATGGCCAGCAAGTTGAGATTGGGACCTCTACCAAGGTCTGCAGACCACTAGGCGAGTGCATTTTCCACTACATCTTTTTGCATACCAGAGAAAAGCAGAAGGAATGAGGAGGACACTGGAGTAGGGGAGTGGAGAGCCAGCTCTGTTTTGAGGAAACACGTTACTCCAGGCATGACCAAGGGAAGACTAAATGCCTGGAGCATTTGTAATGCCGCTACTTAATCGCTGTTTCTGTTCTTAGCATGCCTGTGCTCTAAAAATTCCTTCTCATTATAACCTGGTATAGCATTGAAGGCCATGCTCGTGGGAAGCTTCATGACCCAAGCCTATTAATTACAAGGCAGATGAAGCTGTGCGTGGCCGGGCATGGTCAGGGCTGCGCTGTTCTTTTTGCTGAGAGGTGAGTGTGTAGGAACAGTAGCTTCATATTCATAATATCTGACACTGGGTTTAAAGCTGTTCTTTGGAAGAGACTCTTTTCCTAAATTTCAACATCTTTATTGTATTGTATGTTTGCTTCTTCGCAGGTCTCAGAGAAAGTAAGGCCAGGGGCTGGGTGACTGCTTCAGAAGCAGCCCGTGAAAATGGACGGTCACAGTGATGATTTCCCAAGCAGAGGCGGCATCGTTGGCCACCCAGCATGAGCGGCTTACCACTCTCATACCAAAGTCAGGCGGGTCATAATCGAGCCCAAGGCATTTCTCTCAAGTAAAGGGCAGTGTGGAAAGTAGCAGTGGAAGGTTGCAATTTGGCAAGGAAAGGTGTATAAGGAAATCCTAGAAAGCTTGGCAGCTTTGCTAAATGGCTTAAGGAAGACACCTGTGCTAGTTTTTTATTTGAGGAATATTATTTTAAATATTGGAAGGCAGAGTGAGGCCGAGTGTCTTCCTGAACTCCAAGAAAGCTTCTGCCCTGTCGTCAGTGTTCCTGTAACTTGAGAGCAGGGAATGCAGGACATGGGAACAATGGCCTCAGCACCCCCAGCCCCTACTGACTGCCCCTAGACTGGTGGGGGATCCCTGGATTCCCTGAGCCTGCACACCCCATTGCTTCTGACTTTCTACTAGGCCTTTGCCCTGGTAGTTTTCTCAACAGAGTTTTCCTCTCCACTTCTAGAACAATGATTTTCTCCCAATTATTTGGCTCCTAAATTTGTAGGCATGTTCCTAATTGCATCCCGCCATGCATATGTGGTCTCCAAGCTGTAAAATGCTCACAGGATTAGGTTCTTTACAACCGCCCCCTGCTAGTGCCCTGTGCAGCAGTGGGCACATAATGGAACCCATGAGTGTTACAGCCAGTGGCTGATGGAACCCCTCTGTTCATAGACAGAATTGAGGCAACTAGTCTCAGGCTGGGCTCCCGCACAGGAGGGACTAAATGGTAAGTGGTGGCAAACGTGCAGCTTCTGTGTGAAAATGCAAACATTTTGGGGAAACTCTGGTCTCCTTTGCCTTTCATACAAAATAACTGTCATATTCTTTGCTTTCTTGTAGAAAGCCCTGACTTAGCTAACATTTTTTCAGATCCAATGCTTCCTTTTACCAGAATCTCACTAGGACAAGATATGTTTAGTGCCTGTTTCCTAAAGGCACCAGAGGCAGCCACTTACCAGAAAGACCACTGGACTGAGGGTCGGCCACCTGGGCTCTAGGCCTGCCTCTAACTATGTGGCTCTGCATAAGTTACATTCCCCAGTGGGCTCGGCTGCTTCACAGGTAAAATGAAACACGGGGCTGTGATCCATAACAGACTTCTCAGCCTGAGTGCAGCTACCTGTGCAGCAACTGTGTATATAGTCCTCTGGGGAGTGGATGTACTGTGTTCATCAGACTCTCAAAGGGGTCACTACAATCCCTCAAATAGAAAAACCAGTTGGACTGGAACTTTTCTGAATCTTTTCAGGGCTAATGGTTGACTCTGAAATCCTTTCCCTTTGTGTCACGAGTGGGGACTTAATTCTATAAGCGAAGCTACTTGGAAGCTACTTCAGTTGTATACCCTCTTGGGACAGGGCTTGGGGGAGGGCCCTGCTGTGGGGACAGAAGTGGTGGGTCATGTGCAGTCTGCAAACTACAGCCTGTGGGCCAAGTCCAGCGCACCACCTGTTTTTGTAAATGAAGATTTATGGGCACTCAGTCGAGCCCAGCTATTGAGCTATCGCCCAGAGGTGCCCCAGAAATTGCTGTAACTGTGGGAAAACAGCCCACATCATACTCACAAAGGATGACCAGCCCCCATTATCTTCTTCATGGCTCTCTGTGGAAGAGGGTAACACCAGATCAGTACCAAAATAAGGGGCTCAAAGGAAATAGCAGCTCCCTCATCTGATGCCCTCCCGCACACTGCCCCATCCCAGTCCTTCATCCGACCTTCTACATACTTGGAGGCTACCAATTTAGTATCAGCTCTAGGATTGCTGCCTGAAGAGCTCATTCTGCCAGAAGGCAAAAGTTGTTCTCAATGTTCCACATGCATAAGAGTCCCCTGAGAGTGACTTCAAATATGCAGATGCCTGGGGCCCAAGCCCTAGAGCTCCTGATTCAGCAGGACAGAGCAGGGACCAGGAATCTGCATTGTAAGACTAAGTGCAATTTAACAATTGAAAACTGCTTTAAAGACTCAGAAGCAAGGTGAATGGCTCCATGCAGGTGCTCAGTCAGAGCCTGGATCCTTCCTTGCTCTCCTACAGTTTCTCGTTGTGTGTCTGCAGAGGGTCCCAGCTAAGCAGGGGGCCATAAGCAGGCTGCCCTGCATCTCTCCTCTCAGTTTGGACCCAGACCTTTTTCAGGAGAGTAATTGGCTTACAGGTGATTGAATAAGGTCACCTGCATGATACCCCAAGAACCCCAGCAGACAGAAGGACCAAAGTACCTGTCACCTCCTAAAGCAATCACTCTCAGCCCTGACACCTTTACCTGTCTCTTCAGGAAACCGCTGCACTTGGGGTCTGCAAAGGCAAACAGCATTGCATTAATGGCCCTACTGATTTAGGGGAACTTCTCTCTTTCCTCAATCCAGCCCTGCAAGATTAGCCCCCAGGGGCATGTGTCTCACCACCCAGGACTGGTGTCCTTGTTGCTCAGCAACACAGGCTGGGCTAACCCAAAATTCTGTAAACCACTAAAGCCACACTGGTGGTGCGACTGGGATCTTGTGACTGTCTGACTCTCGAGGGGAAGTTCCCCTGACGTCCCACACCCAGGGTCAGGATGCAGGACAGGGAGAGGGACACCCCTCCACCCTTTTTGGCACCAGCTTCAAGACCCTGGAGCAGAAGAAACTGGGGCAAAAACAGTCTCATGCCCCCCATTTAAGGCCCCCTTTGGGTTTGAAAATGCCCGGGGTTTCCTCAAAGCAATGCCAGGCCCTTGGCTGCCCCCACTCACTTGCGTGTGAAAATGCTCCTTCTCTCTTCATTCTTGTTGATTTCTTGACTTAATTTACTGAGAATTCTACAAGATAAAGAGACAAATGATGTGACAAAATGAGTTTCTCTCAACCTCCCCAACCCCCAAACCCCAACCTTCCCATGAGCCCTGAAGTTCCCTGAGCTGTGTGACCTCAGGCACCTGGACCAACGTTGGCCAGCTTCCTCCTCTGCTCCTTACTTCCTCCCAGAACTTGTCATGCTTGTCCCCCCACCAGTCCCTGGTCCTGCCCAGGAGCCCTCTATGTTTGGCTCACATCTTCAGTCTAGCTTGGAGCCCCTCTGTGTCAGTCACACCTGGCTCCCCCCTTTATGAAATTCTGTAGCCCTATGATCTGGATACAGTTGCTCTGTATTTTATTGTGTTGGTATTCCTAGGGATAAGTCCCCTGACTTGGTTTAATCCTTGTCAAGATGTCCAGCTTCAGAAATCTTCAAACCTTCTCTGAGACCTGGAGCCATCAGCTACTGGTTGCAGAACTTGAAAATAGCCCCAGTGGGCTGCCCTTGGCCTGTATCTCCTTGTGTTCTCCCCTCCCTGCCTCTTCCTTGGTGACATGGATTCTTTTAAAAATTTGGTGAAGTATTACCAATCAAGGTACAGCCAGCCTATCAAGTGAGAGAATCCCTGAATCACCCATCCCCTGAGGCCAGCCTTGACCAGGACCCATGCAGACTCTCTTGGTCCTTGGGTGCTGTGAAGTGGCAAATCCCCAAGCCCCAGGACGGGGAAAGCCTTCACCAGCTGGACTGCGCAGCGAGCATTCCCCAGCCGTGAGCGACCATTCATTCCATGGGCAGGAGACTCCAGCCTCCCTTAACACCAGCTGCTGAGGGCAGGGGGACCCCCTTTAGTAAACAGGCCCAGTGATTCCTAGAGATTTCGGGCAGCTGGAAGCAGCCCCACAGATGATCTAGTTCAACAACATTTTATAGGTGAGGCCACAGAGGCCCAGACAAAGGAAGGGACTGGCTCACAGAGTGGGCTAGTGATAAAGGCCACACATTTTCTCACCACACACAACAGCCCCTGATTTCCAGGGTAGCAAACTCACAACTCACCACATCCTTGTGTTAATTTCCCTTAAGCACAATTCTCCCTGGGGGCACACTACTGAGTCTGTGGCCCATCTGAGAATGACCCAAGATGTCCATTCCTTCTGTTAAGTGACCATTTAAATGCAACAAGTTTGGCCTAAAACGAAATTGCTAAATTAGCAAAGGCAGTACTTAGCATCCACAGCTTGCTGCTTCCCTCATCACTCCCCAGGCCCCCGGTCCCAGGAAACTGCTGCTTGGAACCCTCCTACTCATTAGAATGACAGGGTTAAAAAATATTGATAACCATGCTGGAGACTTCAGAAGACAGAGGGGAGAGGGTGACATTTGCTCCCCATCCTAGTATCATGGTTAGGGTTCCACACTTCACTTGCTGCCCAGAGGGCAGATGCTTTACAGCCACAGTGGGGCTTCCCAGTGGCCTCCTGGTCACTTGGCCACCAGAACACTTTTGACTTGGTTCTTTTTGTTTCCTTTGAGCAACTGTTTTGAGAACTGAGGAAGTCCCTCTCCTACCTCCTCTGGCATGAGGATGGAAGGGCACCAACAGAGCTGTCAAGGGAGCCCCGCTGGCATCCAGGCCAGGCAGGCAATGGTGGCTGCAGCCGCCACTCCCTTTCCGTCACACCTTCATTCAACAATATGCTATGAGTGCCTTCTAAGTGCCAGAAAATCTGCTAGGTGCTCAAGGTGCCTTGATGAAGAAAACAAAGAGCCCTCATCTTAAGGAGCTTACGTGCTAGTGGACAGAAACAGACAATAAACAATGAACATTTGAGGAAGTGAAAGCCTAGGTAAGTCCTGAGTGTATATACATGCAGTGGTGCTGGGGGCTGGGTGAGGGGCACAGGAGCGCCAGGGTGGAGTGCCATTGCAATTGACAAGAAATAGGCCTCAGTGCAGAGATGACATTTAGCAATGACCTTAACAAAGTGGGGCTGGTTGCACCTCACCGCCCCCATCCCACAAAAGCTTGGCTGGGCTCCAACGGGCCCATGAAGCTGCTTTGATCCTGAAAAGAGCCCCTTCCTCTCTGCGGTGTCTCTTCTTACCAGTGTCCTCAGCAGCCAGGCTGGTGACTGGTGGCTGCTGGGGCTCTAACTGGCAAGGGAAGGAAATGCCAAACCGCAGGCCCTGACAGAGAAGCAGAGAGGTGAGAGAGAGCAGAGCTGAGCCCACCAGTCCAGCTTGCAGCAAACTTGGGCCCCCAGGGTCCTCCTACTTTGATGGGCCTCAGAGAATACCCTCTGAGCCAGCTGGGACAACTGCTGCGTGTGGGCAGGGTGGTAGTGCATGTGGACAGGGCAGGGAGGTGGTTGTTATCGCTGTGTGCAAACCTTCAAAGTCATCTCCCACTCCCACACCCCTGAAGACCAAGTGACAGTGAGTGGCCGGAGGTGACTCATTTCTCCTTCTCCCCACAAACCCAGGCCTCATTCTGCACCAAGGAGAGAGGTGGAGGGGGCTGGGCATCTGGCAGACAGTTCTCTCTGCTTCACCTTGTTTTAGGGATAAACTGGACCTGATAGTGGGGCTGAACCCTCCAAATAGAAGTCGCATCATTGCAGGAAGGTGGACTATGCAATGGGCTGGGTTTCAGCCCAGCTGCATCTCTGGTTTGCAGCATGGTGGGGTCAGTCTGTGACTCCTCAGAGGCCTGGTGATGTTAGATGGCACAGAGGATGGGTCCTCATATGGGGTCTGACTGCAACACCCTACCCCATGGGTAGTGTGAGGCCACTGTGTGACCTCAGCCAAAGCGTTTCCCTTCCTTAGGCCCTGATCCCTCACCAGCAAGAAGAGAGGGTTAGTCCGGGCCAGGGAATCCCTGCCCAGCCTGACTGTTGGGATTCCATGGACGCACCTTCTACAAACACAGATTACCAAGCCCACCGTAGGCTTAACCCATCTGAATCTCCAGGGGAGAGTCTTGGGGGGCAGTAATACCAACCAGACCCCTGGGCAATTCCTATAGTCTGAAAAGATGATAAAATCAATCCTGTTATTTTTGATATTTTTGAACTGTCATTTTAAAAATGAACAAGGAGATGGAACAAGAGGAAGAAATGAAGCAGGAGGAGATGAGGAGGAGATGGGGGAGATGGAGGAGGAATAGAAAAAAACAGCAGCAGCCATCACCTATTCAAATGAAAAGAAATTTCACAAGAAAATCCCCTCAGCCTCTTAACAAAAGGAAGGAAGAAAACAACAGAATACAAAGCATCAGAGCCCACAGCACACATGTAAGAGTAGGTATTATTTTGTGAACATTCTCTTTTCGGTGCCTCTATTGTCACATGTGTAGGTGCGTACCAGCTTACAATATAAAATGTATTTCACACAGTGGGAGCTTTAGACCAGCTTCCCTTCTCTCCCCCTTGCAGGGCAGGCTCTCCCTTGACCCTGATCTCAGGGGGCATGCTGGTTCCCCGGGGGAGAACACGCATGTCTGTTTGCAGTGGGCAGAGGGCTGCTGCTCAGCGTGTCCTCTCCCAGCCCTCCTCTGCCCCTCACCCAGCAGCCTGCCCTCGGCCCTGCACATCCCCGCTCCCAGCCTCCAGCTGGCATTCTCACTCGGCCTCTGTATTTCATCCTTCTTTAAAGGAAACCTTCGTTCCACCTCTAAGGGTCAGCCTCCTCGAAGCAAGAGACAAATCTTCTGGAGTTCCCGGGGTCATATGAGAAGCCAGGGAGAGGCCAGGATGTAAGTCCCAGGGCCTTTCATCGCCATCTGGGGCCTCAGGAGGGAACCACGGGTAGGTGGGAAACAAGAATTTGAGGGCCTAGTATGGTCTCCCTGCGTCTCAGCCGTGCCCTCCACCCTTGCAGTTTTCTATGTGTTATTTCTCTTGTGTTTCACAGCCATTTTGTGTGGCAGACAAGTCCAATTATTCCCATTTTACCAACAAGATAAACAAGGTGTGAGATAGGCTTTTGTCAAAGGCCACGTGACCAGCTTTAATGTGGAGCTGAGCTGGGAAGACAAGCTTTCCAGACTGGCACTGGGGGAGGAGTGACTGTTGGTGGAGAGGAGGCCCTTTCACGTGGGGAGGACTGGGCAGGGGTTAGCCCTTGATTGGGAGAGGGAAAGTCCAGGGCGAAGACAGGCCTGTCATTGTTTCCATTCTGCTGAGGGCTGGTCACATTCTGTAATAGGCAGAGCAGGTCCTGTTCACCTCCCGGTCCCTCCCTCCGCCCCCCTCCCTCCTCCCCTGTCTTCTCTATCTTAGGTGTGCTGTCCTTGCAGGAGACTTACAGCCTTATCAGGAAGGCAGACACACAGGAGTTACTGTATTACTTCTCTGGTTGGCTCTTAATTTTCTCCAGCCTAATTTCACTATTGTAATGGGCATAAAGGGAATCGTCCAAACACCTATCTGTTGCCTACACCCCACCCCATCACTGCCTTCTCCTAATTTTTTTAAGTTCCACTATGCATTTAAATATAAAACTTATAATATTAAAAAAAAACAAATCAGTGTCAGATTTTAACATGCCGTCTACCAGTTTAACCAGACCATGCTCCACTATTCTCTGGGTTTTAAGACAGGCCCTCTGCAAGGAGGCTTCATTGTTTTATTCAGAAATCCACCTCCATTACGGTATTCAGGGTGGCTTTGGGAGTAACTGTGTCCTGAGAGAGTGACTTGACCTGCAGAGAGAGAAAGCTTTCCTCACCAGAAGCTGCCTTCTTATAAAATCTACTTATTAGTGATTTCATAAGCATGGGGGACAGAAATTGAGATATTCAGAGGAATATAATCTTGTTTTGGTCTGCTGTACATAAACACAATTTCTTTTCCATAGCCCTTCAGGGTAATGATTATGGCAAATGAACCTAGGTCCAAGGGAATGGAACAAACAATATTGAATATCTGTATGCATCAAGGTAGGCACCAATTTATGCGGGCTGCCTCCTTTAAAGTCCACCACTCCCTGAAGTTAGCTCTTTTTCTTTCTATAAATGAAGTCATTTCCCCAAGGTCTCACAGCTGGCAGGAGGCAGAGCCTGCCTTAGAACCTGGACCTGCCTTGTCCCAAAGCTTTTCTATTCTTTAATAGAAACGAATTCCACCTTTAGCAGAAAAAAATGATCAGTAAAAATTTGAAATTGTGCTCATTGGGATTTTTCAGGAAATAAGAATAGCTAACATTTCTTCAGTGCATATTACTGTTTCCCTATTATTTCCTCTACCTTTCCTGCTGACCTTTGAGGTTGGTTCTGTTATTATCCCCAGTTTGCAGATGAGGAAGCTGAGGTTCAGGGAATTCAGATAACTTGTCCACAGACTCACGGCTGGTGAACAGAAGATTTGGGGTTCAAGGAGTCTCTCATCTCCAGTTTTAAGCAAATTGGTTATGATGTACATTGGGATAGTTATCTGCCTGTTGCTTAGGCTTGGAAAGTTTGCTGAGCCTCTTGGATCTGTGCATTTATCATTTTCATCCAACTTGGAGAATTTTCAGCCACTATTTCTTCAAATATTATATATATATAATATATATATGTAATATGCCTGTATTATGTATTTATATATTCCTCCCCCACTCCACATGCACACTTCTCCCTCTCCTTTGGACTTTAATTTCATATATATTAGGCTGCTTGAAGTTGCCTAATAGTTCCCTGAGGCTCTTTTCATTGTTCTGTTTAAATTCTTTTTACTCTCTGAGTTTCATTTTGAATGGTTTGCACTGCTGTGTCTTCATGCTTATTAATATTTTTTCTGCTGTTAATCCCAGGTATATTTCTCATCTCAGGTATTGTCATTTTCATTTCTAAAAGTTCTATTTGGGTCCTTTTGTATTTCTCATGCCTCAACTTAACTTTTTGAACATATGGAATACAGTGATATTTTTCTTGTCTAATTCCAGTATCTGAATCCATTATGGATCAGTTTTGATGCATTGGCTTTTCTCTTAATTATACATCGTATTTTCTTGCTTGTTAATATGCCTAAAATCTCTGATTCAATGCTTGACATTGTGAATTTTGCTCTGTTAGGTGAGAGATATTTTTGTATTCCTGAGCTTTGTTTTAGGGTGCAGTTAAGTTACTTAGAAACAGTTTTTTTGGCTTTTGTTTTTCACTCTTGCTCTTAAGATTCTCTAGGCAAAGCTTGCAGTTTTTAGACTAGGGCTAATTATTCCCCATTACTAAGGCAAGGTCCTTTTGTGCACTCTACTCAATGACTATAAATCTGCAGTTTTTCCAGTCTGGCTGATAGAAAAAGGCACCGTTTCCAGACCTGTGACTGGCCGCTATAATCTTGTTGGGTGGTTCTTTTGCCAGCTTTGAGTAGTTGCCTTACATGCATGCACTGATCAACCCCTGCTGAAGAGGGGTCCTTTGCAGTGTCCAGAACATCTTCTCTGTGCAGCTCTCTCCTCTCTGGTACCCGACCAATGAACACTAGACTTATTGACTCTCAGCTCTGTCTCCTCAATTCAAGGTGCTCACTAGACCCCACCAATGTTCCCTACTCATTGTACTAGGGCCTGGAAACTCTCTCAAAGCAGTAAGAGATGACCACACTTGTTTTCCATGTCTTATAATCTGATGTCCAATGTCATCAACTGCTGCTTAATATATTTTGTCTGGTTATTTGGTTACTTTAGGGGGGATTTTATTACTTCTTGTTGGTCAAATAGCCAAATTCTCCATGCATATGATTGAAGCACTGTAGGAGAATCTCTTGGGAGTAGTGGAGACTACGGTAAACTGGAGAACACAAACCCCATCTAAACAGGGCAGCAGACAATCAGATCCAGCTAAGAATTGCCACAATAGACTAAGAGCCAGACTAGATCACTACATCTTCCATTAGTTTCAAGAAAAGCCAGATTTTGTGGAACATTTCTTGATTTTAAAAATCTCTGCAGACCAAGCTTCATATGTCTGCAGTGCAACGCTGGCCCAACAGCCACCAATTCTGATACCTACATGTTAGGGTCTCTTCCTTATGTAGAACAAAAATTTTTTTCCTAGAATATCCATTTCTGCAATCATAGAAATGTTCTATGTCTGTACTCGCCAATGCAGTAGTCACCCTCTACATGTGGTTATTGAGTCCTCAAAATGTGGCTAATGCCTCTGAGACACTAAATGTTTGATGTAATTTGAATTTAAATAGCTATATGTGGCTGGAGAACAGCTTAGGAAAAACAAGCACTCTTCAACAATACTCCCTGGAGATAGACCACACCAAAGACAAATCCTTACTCCTGTCTTTTTCCTTCACCCTTCCACGTGAAGGAAGCCTGAGACTCATGTTTTCCTTAGTTGAGCTACTTTGGCAGTTCTTCCAGCCTCGTACCCCACTGGCCTACTTCCCTTATATTATTGTGAATTCTGAGACCCTTAAAATAAGAGGAAAGACCTCAGAGAATGTCCAGAGTAGAGGTCTCATACTGGTGGTCCCCAGACAAAATCTAGCCCATAGAAATGTTTACTTTGGCTTTCACAGAATTAAAAATATTTGAGCCAATATTTAAATCAGAGCTATATTGCATAAAACTGATATTTCTAGCTACTTTAGATAAATTCAAAGATTGGGCATCATTGCCGGGAGCTGAGTAGCGGCTGCTCACTGGCTGGAGAGTGTGATTCTGATTTGCCACCAACTTCCATCCACTCCCTATTGTTTCACCAACTCTGAGGTTTTGTGTTGATTACCTTGTTAATCATTATAATTGTGCTATTATTTTTCTTGCAGTAGATACCTATGCTTCAGTCAAAGGAGGTAAAATGAAAAGAAAATTGATAGGTCTTTGTTTTTCAACCTGGCCCATTTTATATGTTTATATCAACTGTGTGGCTTCTGTAGGCATTTCAGTATATGAGATCATTATGAGAGGGATGTGGCACAATATGCACAATGCAACTTTCCCTTGAGTTCCTGTGTCAGACATCATTAATGGACTATGCCCCACTTTCCTCAGGATTCTTCTCCACACAATGCCCCTGACAGCCATTTCTGACCAGTCAGTATTGCTAAACAAAAGGCTGTCCACTTCCATCCTTCATCCTGTCCACTCTCATTTTATCGAGCTGGAAAATGAGGTCCAGAAACTTCAGCAATCACTGAGTTGGTGATGATACCATGATGAAACCTCAGGGTTTTTGACTCTGGTGCTATTTTTACAAAGCCAGCTACCCCACTGGGGAGAGAGGAAATGAAATCTTGGTCCAGAGTCGGGCTTGTCTTTGGCAAGAGCAGCCAATACACCAGCCAGGCTGGACCTGTTACTTCCTTTTCCCAACTCATAATGTAACTTACCTTCCCTATACCCTACCCTCGCCTCCACCCTTCCTGCACACTTTCCTACTTCAAACCAACAGCAATAGATAACTGACTCAGCACCCCCTGGAGTACTCCCCCATTCCAACCTCTGTTCCCCAATTCACCCAGGGAATCAGGTGAGTACTTACGGCACCCGAAGCTTAGGGAACTTCTGGATGTCATTTTCTGTCAGGTTCTGAAATGAAGATACCAGCAGGTCACAACCCACAGGAAGGGCTCTGAGTCAGGTAAGTAAAGGAGGAAACAACAGGGAGTGGTAGGGACTGCGGCCAACTAGAGAGGACACCCCCACCCATCCAAAGGGGTCAGCTTCTAGATGTTGCATGGAAGACTGTGGGCCTGGTGTTGCCAGGTTTACTTTTTCAAAGGAAATCCTGAAATCCAGACTTTATGTGAAATTTCCTGAGTTTGAAATACTGACAAATAATTTTAACTTAAGCAAACAAAACACTATGAGAGCTAAATTGTGGGACCAAACATAACTTGTTTTGTGGGCCAAATCTGGCCATTTCTGACCTCTTCTTTAGGCTCTTACCCAGACTTCAGGGCCCCTCTCAGTCTCTGTAAGAAGCAGCCATGAGAAGCCTGCCTAGAAAAAGACTCTGTGCCCTTATACCACCATCACACCCCAGAGCCTCTTTCACCAGGGTTACTGGTGTTATTCTCTGGATGTGGGGATGCAATAGAGAGGCTTTCCTGAGGGAAGTGAGAGGGGAAAGGAGAAAGAAGTTCATATTTATGAAGAACTGACTCCGGGCCTCTGCCTTACAACACCTTCATTCATTCTCGCATCAACCTGTGATGTAGGAACAACCTGCACTCCCATTCTATAGGTGAGAAAATTGAAGCTTGGGAATGTGAGGGAAATTTCACCTTGTAGGTGCTGGAGGTGGGCTGGAACACTCCTCCCTGGCATTCATGGTCAGTTTTCTTCCAGCAAGTCTCCTCCCTCTCATGCCTGAGCCCTTTGAGGGTCCCAGTGACCAAAGAGGAAGAGGGTGGCAGGGTGAGAAAAGAAGGCATCTTGAAGGGAGGAGAGGCAGGACTGCCAATGCTGGGAACAGAAGAGAGGGTGGACAGACTTTCCAAAAACTGATGTCAGCCGAAGAAAGGACTCCATTGACATTCTAAGGGTAGCAGCTCTGGAGTCAGACAGGCTGGGTTTGAATCTTACTTCTGTCTGATTTGGCGCACACACCTGGCCTCTCTGAGCTTCAGTTTCCTTATCGGTATAATGGGAATAATTGTAATAATAATGGCCACCTTCCAGGAATTATGAGGATTAAATGAGATGATGCATGTTGTGTGCTTGGCTCAGCGCCTCACATACCATATATGAATGACACATGGGGGAATTAGGTGAATAATTACTACCCTGGGGGAGGGAGCAGCCGGGGTCTGGCTGGCTTTTGGAGGTTAGTGTTTTTGCTTCTTCTCCTCCCTGGCAGGCTGTTTGCCGCCTACTGGGAAGAGCTGGGCATACTTCCCTTTGAGCCCAGCTGGCACGGGGCTGGGGTATTTTAGCAGTGTGCTATGGACCCATCTGCTCCAGCTCCAGGAGCAGTGGGTGACCCAGCCCATTTGTCAGACCTTGCAGCAGGACGTCTGGGAGGGAGTGTGCCAGAGACAGTCAGGTCAAGCTTCTTAACTTCTCCACTTTTTCTTAAACATCACTGAGCAGCAGTGTCTCTGACCTCCAGAACCTCCCCCCTGTCAGGGATGTGCCAAGACTCCTGTTCAGAGTGTGGCATGATGAGGACAGAGCTTCCCATGGGCTCCCAGAGGGACAGCAGCTGGCCACCACCTTCTGTTCTGCTGAGTTGAGGATATACAATGAGGCTCAGGAAGAGTATGAAGGAGAAGGTGGACATGAGCAAGGCTGGAGACACAGAGTAACAGGATGTTAGGAAAGAGAGAGGCCTTTAGAACAGGGGCAGGAACTGGGAAGAAAGATGAGAGATGTTTAAACTGGAGTTTTGGAAAGTTGTGCTTTCTGATATAACTTCTCTACATCCTTCAAAACATTCAGCAAACTCTGGGTTACTTATGAGATGACTTGGAGTTAGACTTGTGGCTTCACAGGAGTATGATTATGTGCGGAGTGTATCCTCAAAACGGACACGCGAGGAGGGAGAGCTGCAGATGGGCCCTGCGTGCAGAGGTGGTGTGCCTGATGCAGCTGCTTGCCTACCCAACACCCACTCTCTCTTTCTCCCCTACTGATGGGATCTTGATTTTGTTCAGGCAGTATCTGTGCTGAGTTTAAAATATTTAACACCTTAGACTCCCTTGCAGATGGCTGAGGTCACAGGACTCAGTCATGGCCAGTGAGATACAACTTGGAGTCTACTGAATGGAGCTTTTGGAAAAGTTATTACTTTCCTGACAAGAGCTAGATGCATTCCCCATGCACTGTGCACTTTTTACTCTTTGCTCTTCCCCATTTCCTCCTGCCTGGAATGCCAATGTGATGATTAGAGATGGAGTAGCCAGCTTGCAATCATTAGGACAGAAGCCACAGGCATCTTCTGTGGGCTAGATGGGGCCTGGCTTCTCGATGGCTTCCTTCAGCAACTCACCAGCCCCAAGTGCCCATCTTTAGATTTCTTATCACTTCAGAAAGATAAACCCATTTGGTTAAGCCACTGTGGTCAGGTTTCTGTTACAGGCAGCCAGGTTCCTTAACTGAAACAGGTACTAAGCACATTTCCTCATCTTCTTCAAACTTCTAGAAGTATAGGACCCCCATTACCCATCAGATAAAAACCCACAGTTCTCACTGGAAAGCCCAAATGGCAGCAAAACAGATTCAGGGCTCCTACTAGCTCCTATAATGAAGAAAAAAAAAAGGAAGAAACAAAGAGGAGAGAGGGAAGGAGGGAGGTAAAAAGACTCTGACCTCCGCCACTGCCTTCAAGGTCAGAATGGTCTTGGATACTATAAAGCTAGAAGTGACAGATGAGAAATTAGAGTTCATATCAGAGCTTAAACTGTACCCACAGCACCTGGGGTGGAGGGTGGGTTTTAGCAGAAGCTGCCTTTAAACACTCCTGTTGCTGGGCCTTGCACCAGGTTCTCTCTGCTTTCCTGCCTCATAGCACCCCTCTTTCCACTTTCCTTGTTCACACAATGAGCAGAATATGTAGCAGCCTCTAGCAACTGACAGGTCCCAGATTTGGGAGCAGAGGAGGCAAAGCTGCCCAGATACCATCTCTCAACCAACAAAACAGCCCTGTCCTAACAGGCCTGAAGCTTCCTAGGAAGAGCAGGGGGAACGCACAGAGCTGGAAGGGACTCACCCGCTATGAGCCAGCCCAATGTGCTCATGTGCAATTAATAGAGCAGGGAGCAAGGAGAGGCTCAGAGAAGGCAAGTGCTTGTTCAAGGTGACCCAGAGCATCAGCACTGCAGCCAGAACCATCCTCAAAGATGGCTTACTCTCTTTCCACTCAGCACTGAGATGTGTCTGCTCTCAGTGCTCAATGCTAAAGGCACCAGAAGGAAATGTTCAGGTTTAGCAGTAATTCTCAACAATAGTGAAACTCTAAGTGTGTGTCCTATTAGCTCAAAGTTCAGTATGAAGAAATAGTGTTGTTAAAAACTCATGGACTGTTAGGTTAAATTAAAAGTCTGATTTAGTCCAAATACTAGGTGTCTGACTTAGAACAAATCAGAGGCTCTTTACATGTTCTTTCAATTGCAAAAGAGATGGGTGGAGCCTTCCTGAAGATACCTTTCTGCTATAAAATAAGCTTCAGGAAGGCAGAAATGGCATCCTAATCTCCATATTCCCAGCACATGGCATGGTCCAGTGTATAAACGGAATCAGGAAAATGCTCAGGTGAATGAATAATTTGGGTGGAACAATGAATATTAAGTGTATCTTACATGGCACATAAAAGCAAAGCTCAGACCCAACAGGGGCACAGATTTGGTCTCAGCAGGAGACTTAAGCAGCCCAGAAAGGGACAGGTGACACTGGGTGGTAGTGAGCTCACTGTCACTGAAAGATTCAAGCAGATGTTGGTGGCAGGGATGCAACCTAAGAAATGAACTGGTGTGCTGGGTGGAAAGCTAGAGCATGCAGCCTCTATGGGTCCTTTTAACTCTTAAGGCTTGTGGCCCAGTTCCTTGACTGCTGCTGACTAGGCCTGGCAGGAAAACACAACTCAGCTTGCCCTCCTCACTCCAGATCCAGATTGGAAACACCTAGGCCTGAGACTTTTGAAGTGTTATTCCCACTTCTTTCTTGAATGTTGAAGAAACATGATCAGAGGGATGAATTGGGGCAGTCAGGATCTCTCTTATCCATACATAGACAAATGTGTCATTTCGGGGGACATGCTCAGATCACCTCCCCAACCACTTACCCAATGCCTCAGTCTCCACCATTACAGCTGCATCTCTCTCCATTTAATGGCTTAGTCCTTAATATATGGTTGCATCTTAGTCTTATATTTAAAGCTTTTTGCAATACAGCAGAGTGGAGAGGGCCATACCACAGGTGGGTTTAGTTGGCACAAAAACAACCATGTGAATTTGTTAGAAAAAAGTATGTAATTGAAATAATGAAGGAGATTCCAGCCTTTATTTCACTCAGTGAGTACGTCCCCCAGGATGTGAGATGGGAAAAGAGAATCTCCTATTCTCCCTCATGGTCTTTTATTTCCCTTGGGCTACTCAAAGCATGGATGGCATTGGAATAGATTTTCAAGGTGTGGGTAAGGGGTGGGTGGGGGCTTTAACTATGCTTCGATTCCTTCTTATACCTTGACTTCAGAATGTACCTTTGTATCCGTGAAAGATGTGGGAGGTATCCTGAGCAGGGGTCCCGAGAGGTGATGACAGAGGCAGTCATTCCAAACCTCTGAAGCATGCAAAGGGTTGCATGGGGACCCTGAAGGCAGATGTTGAACCTGGGCATCCCCAGGGACAGGGTGGACCAGTTGGCCCTGCAGCCATTGGTTCAAGTGCAGAATGGCTTTGTTCTCAATGTTTTGGACTGTTGGCACTTACCAAAAACCTCAGCCCATCAATGTGATACTTCTTTACAGCCTTTTCACAGTCCTTGTAGTTCAGCTGCAAAGAGGGGAAGGTGTGTCAGAGGAGAATAGGGTCAGGCCATTGGTTCCCCTCCCTCGCCTGCCCGAGAAGCTTAACAAATTGTGATACTTGTGGCTAGCCAGACTCCCCATTCCCCTCCTGATTTCACAGAAGGGCCCCGTCCCTACCTCAGCCCTGCTTTCACTAGCCCCTTGGGACTCTCTGAAATGGAGAAATGGCCTCTGTCTAGGACTTTGGAGCCAACCCCTGCTGAAAGAGAGTGCCTTCAAGGCTGCCAAGGGCTGGCCACATGTTCCCCCAGCAGATAGAGAGAAGGGGAAAGAAGAAAACCACTAGCATTCACTGTCTTGCTACCCAGAGACAATCTCAGTGAACATTGTGATATTTCCTTCAATGCTTTTTCCTAAGCATATTCTGAACGTAATTGAGGTGACAATTCATATTCAATCTTGCTATCCTGACTTTTTCTCTTAAAATTACCTTAAAATGATAATATAAGCATTGCCTCATGTTATTGCAAACTCCCTTTAAACACTATCTAAATTTAATTATTCCCTCACTGCTGCACATTTAGGTGGTTTACTAAACTGTTGTTACAATAATGGTAACAGAAACTGCTACTAATTATCGAACACTTCCCATATGGCAAGCACTGTTCTAAGCACTTAAGCCAGTCTTAAGTCACTTAATCCTCACACTTTTCAGATGGAGAGTCAAAGGTATGGAGAGTCAAGTTTCTTGCATGAGATTCCATGGATAGCAGGTGACAGAAGTGACAATTGGCTTCAGAACAAAGTGCTAATGTCTCTGCGAAGAATGCTTTCCTTTCTGTTAATAACAGTATAACTTACATACAGTAAGTAATGAGAAGAAACTTAAACACAGCTTAATACACCATGCGGATCAAATATTGATATTCTTTTGCATACAGTTTTCTTTCCCCTCTACTTAAGATAAATTGTTTAAGCTAGATTCTCAGAACAGTTATAAAATCAGCAGAAATGATCATTTTGGGGGTTTCAGTTGCTTTCCCAATGAGTCACATCAATCAACAATAGCATCACATTGTCCTTAACAGCTTAAGTATTTACATTTTAAATGTCTCTAAAGTTGACTTGTGGGGCTGGGGTATCTGAGAGTAAATGTTTTTCCTGGAGAATCCTAGGTTCTTGTCACAAGTACGAGGCTCACATTTTGTGACAGCCTTCTTTTGGGGCAAATTTTAAGTCTAAGTCTTTTCTTACAGTCAGTAAACCTAAAGATTGAATACAGAGTTGTAACCACTTGGCTTTCAGTGGTAGGATAAATGAAAGCTTAGAAAAAGTAGATTCAGAAGTCAATGTGGAAAGCAAGCAGCATCTGAGAAGCTTGAGCGTCCTTTTTATTTATGTGCAGTGGGCTATAAGTGGTTTTCTTGGAATATTCAACTGCCTAAAATCATCATTTTTCACTGTCATCATTATCAGATGAATTTCTGATTTTGCAGACTGCTAACTTTGATTCTGGATAGACAGACAGCCCTGCAGGCTGGGGCCTGCCTAGAATTTGATTCTGATCTAGTAATATTTGGGCCTGGGGCTAGAATCTGTATTTTTAGCAAGTACTTAGATGATTCTTATGAGCACCCAGCTTTGGTAGGCAGTGTTCTAGAGCACATACCCATGTTGTAGATGGGACAACTGAGGCCCAGAGAGGGAAAGGATTGGTCTAAGGTCACACAGTAAGTTAGGAATGCAGCTGGGATTAGAACCATGGCTCTGAGCCAGTGCTTCTTCACTGCATGGCCCAGGATGCTCTCCTGACACATCAAAAGAAATTAGAGGCATTAAAGAAGTACAAAATATGATCCCAGTCCTCAATGCAGATGGAGGATAAGCTACACACATCCGAGATTGTAAGACTCAAAGGCCCACCTGTCTGCCTGGGTGTCCCTAGCTAGGGCCCAGTTTACAGAGCAGGAAAAAGGGAAGATGGAAAGTGAATTGGCCTCCTCTCTCTGCTGAATGCTTCACATGTGTTATTTCCTTTAGCTCTCCCAACAATCCCATGAGGATAGTTAATGTTAGTTTGTCTGTCTCACTGATGAGGAAGCTGAGTGAGGCACAGAGAGGTGATGTAAGTAAGGGATGGTCACCAAGCTAGCAGGTGGCAGAGCCAAGATTCACACCAAGGTGTGTCTGACTCCGGAGCTTTCTGGGGAGCTGTCTCCAAGGGTGGCCTGACTCCTGATTCATTAGATATAGCCCCTGCCCATAGATCCTGTGTATATGATATTTGGTGGCTAAGCTCCATCCCCACATGGTCCTGCGGTCAGTTCACTTGGGATTCTCTGTCTAGGGGAATTGGGTGCTCAGGTCTTGAAGGATGTCCACCTGAGTTTGTGGAGGGCCGGGACTTCCAGATCACAGACTCCTCTCAGTCTCTTCATTCCTGTCATTGGTTCTTTCACACTGGGAGGAGGAACTTGTCCCAGTGCCGAGGACTTTTCCTGGGCCTGGGGTCTCTAAGAAGAAAGTTCTCTGCTCCCCTAGCACAGGCAGAGAGGCATCCCTGCCTAGAGCCTTCTCCCTGCACTAAGGGGAAGTTTGCCCAGGGAGGCTTCTTGTGTAATCCTCCTGCTAACATTGGAGAGGGTCCCGGTCTGCATCTCTTGGCCTGTCCCCAGGTTTCTCTCTCTAATTCTCAATTCATTTCTCTTTTCTTTATTGAGCTAACATGCTACTTTATAACATCTTGGCAAGTGTCACCTTGTGGCTCTTATTTATTTGGTCTGCATGTAAGAAAAGTATTGAGAAACATCCTTTAAAAGTCAGTTGTCCTAATGATTTTTGCACCCACAATGCTAAAACTTAAGCTTATTATAACCTTTTGGGAGGGAAAAAGAACAAAAACAAGTGCACAAAATGCAGCAAATAACAGGATCTGTGGGCTGTGCCTTTCTCACGCCACACCCGATTCAACATTTTCACATCTTTCTTCTTTAGGTTGGGGAAGAATAGTTGTGACAGTAAATACCTCGGTACTTTACAGACTCCAGGTTTGGCAGGGTGTCCTGGAGAGCCTGTCTGACCCCCAGGAGAAACAGAAAGTTGACTTAGATGAGCTCTAAGGCCTTGACTTTGAAATCTCATCTTTGTGATAATCTGGAGTATTAACTGAATTTGATGCCAGCCTCAGGGATGAGGGTGTTAGAAACATAAATGTCCCTCACAAGACTTTGTATCTTTGGACAGGGGTAGAGGGTCCATGAGTCATGTGGCTTGGGATCTGCCCAAGCAGATGTGTGACCTTTGGTTCCATAAGCCCATAACCAAGCACCAGGACCCTGAGCAACCCCGCCACGGCTGGAAGGCATGGGCATGATAGCCACACAACGGCCTCAGCTCTGTTGCAAGAATAGCCTCTGACCCTGCCTGGCAAACCTGTTCCTTCCTAGGGGCCTCTGTTTCCCAGTTATAAACCAGGGTCATATCGGTTTTCCAGCCTGCCTCACAAGCCCCTCATACAGCTTCAGTGAGCCTGTTCTGTGTCAGGGCCTGCGAAGCCCTCTTTCAGGGTCATGAGCAATGACTGCCTGGATACCTTCTCCAGCGTCGTTCATCTCGGCCTTCTCCACCCCTCCCTCCCTGCCGTTTCCTTCCCCTACCGCCAGCACTCCATTTGTCCTCTTGCTAGCAGCCTTGATCTCATTAGCAGCCATAGCACTTCTGAGTCTCAGAGCATGGGCTTTGCAACCAAACCTGCATGACTGGAATCCTGCCTCTATCACAGGTATTCCCTGGGGCTTCTGGCGATTTCTCCTCCCTGAGCTTATTCTGCAGCTGAGCCAAGAAGACAACAAGATGGGGCAGTGTTAAATGGGACAGTGCCTGTAGAGCACAAACAGCAGCCCTGCCACATGGTAGGTACGCGTCCATTTGAGGGCCTCCCTTCTGCCCAGAACTCATGGCCAGGAACACGCAGTGGTGTATGTATGTATTCACAGCACTCACTCCACTGGTAAGGCTGCCGCGAGGTTAGAAGTTCCGCTGCTGTCTATGACACCTGTCATGTTCTGCCTAGACTCCATCCTCATGCCTCTGCCCAGCCCACCGAGGACACTGATAGCCTTACCACCAACAAAATAGCAAGGCTCACCTTCTTGAAATAGTCTGCAAGGCTGTTGGGGTCCCAGGCCAGGACCTCTGAGCGGAAGGGCACGTTCCTCAATGCCATGGCTGCTTTCCCAGGACAAAGCTCACACGCTGGGCATTGGTGCTACACCCATGGACAGAGAACCCCAACTCCAGAGCGTGGATGTGTCCTTGACTCTTCCAACTCCCTGCCACCCTCTGGAGCACACTTGTTGGAGTAGACGTCTTTTCTGCTTTAACCTGATCCCAGAAAGCAGCGGCTTCCTCTGCGAACAAATATGGTCTCTTCTCAGAAAACGACTCAGCAAGTTTCCTTTACCACTTCCTCTGCAGGGCTCTAAATAAGTAAACAAGGAAGCCCAGCTCTGGTGGCTGGAGAGGCGGAGAGAGCAAGAGGGTTGCTAAGTCCTCACTGGTCCTGGCCACCCCAGCCCAGTGGGAAGCAAGATGAAGGAGACATAGACCCCAGTGTGAGTCCAAGCCTGTTCCATTAAAACTTCTGGCACCCGTATGTCTGTCTACACCACATTCCTGCTTGGCTGGATCTTCACAGATGAAAATCTATTTTGACAGTTGGCCTAAAATATAGATAATCTCTCACCATCAGTGAGCTGCTGGGGGAAGGAACATGGCCCTTTATTGCTTCCCAGTGATCTCTCTCACAAGGGTAGAGTTGAGATTGCTTCACCTACCTCCTTATAGTTACTCTGAGAAGATTCTCAGTGAGTCAGGCACCCAGGGACGAGAAAGGGGCTGCACCGGACAGACCCAGTCTTAATTTCTAATAAGACTATTTCCTTGCTGTGCAACCTCAGGCAAGGGCTTTCCATCTAGGAATCTGTTTTCATATCTGTAAAGCAGGAAAACAGAGCAATTGCCTCATAAACATTTTAGCTTTAGGTGCAGAAAACTAGGCAAAGGAAAAAAAATCTAAGAGAAAACAGCAGTAACGATTTCTATGGATGCTGCCATCAGTTCTAGTCACTATCCATTCCTCCACTTATTCTATCCAAAGAAGACTACATTCCCTGGAGTGGTCCTGAGATGGGAAATGGGAATCTGCGTTCTTAGGAGGTTTCAGACCCTGTACACTTCTCATAATCTGAGAAGCTTGCTGGCAGAGGGTGAATCTAGCATCTAAAAGCAAATATATTTATGCAACATCACAGCCTCTGAACATGAGTTCAGCACTTTAGCTAGTGCTCAATGCATACACACACACACACACACACACACACACACACGCACACACACACACATACACACACACACACACACACACACACACACACACACACACAGATGGCTGTTGATTCCAATGCTTGCAGAAGCATCAAATTCCATTGCCCTACTACCTAGGTGATGCTCTGTTGGTCCCTGAGGTGGCACCTTCCTGAAGCCTTCTCAGGGGTAGCTTTGACCATGCACAGTTCCCATTTTATGCCCAGTGTAAGGATCCTCACTGTCATTGCACCAGCCCCACCAGGTTGTTGTGAACTGATATGAGATCTGCATTTTGTCTCAGGCCCAGCACCTGGGAAGTGATCCCTAAACATGAGCTGATGTCCTTCATACCTCAGAGGGTGCTGGGCACCACTCAAGGCAGTCCAGGCTGAGTGCTCTTTGCAGGGCCTGGTACCTAAGAGCTCTCAGTAACTGACCATGCTCTATAAAGCAGGTCCCTGCTGTTCAAAACACCACCACTGGTGGGTGAGGTCATTTCACTTTTCAAATCACCAGAATAGCAGCAAATGATAAAAATCCATTTGAAAAGAGAGGGAAAGAGAGAAATCACTTCCAAGTAGGGTAATTAAAGAAGATACCATGGAATTAGCTGGAATTTAAGCAGGGCCTTGGAGGATGGTGCACAGGTGGGCCTTCTGCATCTCAGAGTGAGTGTGTGTTGGGGTGTACTTCATGAGCAAGTAGAACACATGGCACCTGTGGAAAGGAGTATTCTAGGTCATTCTTAAAAGTAGAAACATGTTTTCAATGATGTTCATCCCACTCAGAAGAATAAAAATCTACAGAAAAGCAGAAGTTGGAATTAAGGTATAGCTAAATATTAAGCTCTTTTGAAAGAATTATCCAGTAAATGTAGCCAAAATAGACAATCCATGGAGCCCATTTAGAAGAGAGACACAACAGTTAAGAAATTGGGATGATAGTGATGATGACAGTAAGAACCATCACAGCTGCACTGCATCGAGTCCTTCCTGTGGGCCAGGGAGGGGGCTGGGGGCTGGGCACTCACTGTCTGATCTAATTGTTGGCACTGTTATCGCTCCTATTTTACATAAGGGAAAACTGAGGCTCAGAGAGGTGAAGCTGCTTGCTCCCTTACAGCTGGCAAGTAGGTTGTGCAGCAGGGTCTCAGCTGGGAGTCTCTCTGAGTCTGTGCCCTGGTCCTTCACCTTTTTGCATCGTCGGGGCTCTGAGATGTTACGTGCATCGCCCAGACTGGGTTAGGGATTCAGACCTGGCTTTTTCTCCAGAACCTGTTCACTTGCTCACTCTGTCTTCCATGACGCAAGCAAGGGATGTTATCAACCTGGACAAGTAGGAAGAGGATATGGCACTTCCCATGAGACAGGTCTTTGGTGCCCCTCCCTGTAGGACCACAGGCCCATTCCTCAGAAATGACAGCTAGGCAGGCAACAGCAAGTGATGCAAGGGGAAGCTGGTTGCTTCAGGCCTGGTAACTGTCCTCTTCCTCAGTCCTCGGTGATTTCTCAATTCTCAAGAGTTTCACATCTCCTGTCTCTGGCCAAGGTTCTAGAAGCTCCAGGACCAGGGCCAGTTAGTCCCAAAAAGAGGCTCAGGATGCCAGGAGAACCAGGGTGATCGTGTGCAGGCCAGCCCAGTTGGCCTAGCCGCAGGATCCTCGCTGGTAAAATGGGCAGCCACGATTGCAGCCTCAGGGCACAGCCCAGGCAGAGGGGCTGCCACAGGGAGAAAGGCCAAGGCCAGCTCACTCCCAGCTTCTGAAGAGCGTGGGTCTTGACTTCAAGCATGAAGCAGAGCAGAGAAGAGCAGGTAGGGGCAGTGATATCAAGCCGTGCCCTGGGTAGGAATACCCTCTCCCATCTCTCTCTCCCCCAGCCAGGTGGAGAAATCCAGAACTCATGAAGTCAAAAATTGAAAGATTAGCAGAGGCCTTCTTAAGCTTTTTATAAATATACATATAATATATATAGTTTAGGGTTAGGAAGGGGGCAAACAGTCTCTGAGCACAATAAGAACAACATAGTGCTAACATACAGGGACGGGGGCTCGTGGAACAGAAATCTTAAACGTGCATCCAGTGAGCTTGCAAATAAGAAAGCAATATTGGCAGGGAGTGATGTCAGACCTGTCAGTCTTAGAGACAGAAAGTGGATGTCGGAGCAGCACACTGCAATCCAGAGTGGGCATCACCCCACCAGCCCACTGCACCCCCAGTCCAGACTGAAAGCTCCCTCTTTCCTGCAAGGTCACAGCAGAGTCAGGTGGGGAGACAGCTGCCTTCTTCACAGCTGCCCTTAGAAGGGAGAGAAATCAGCACTTCAGTAGAAGAGACTTGGAAGTGGAAGCTTCCGGTGGGGGGATTGGGAAGAAGCACCAGGGAAGGGGCCTGTGAGGTCGCTGCTTAGGGACCAAGAGGGACTGAACAGTGTGGCTTTGGAGGGGAGAATGTGTTGCCCTTCTTAGGAGATGTGCCCAAGAAGTTAGAAGGCAGGCGGGAGGATATGCTCACTTGGATTTGATCTGGACAGAGAGTCTTGACTGGAGAAGAAAGAAAAAGGAGGTGGCTCAGGGCCCAGAGAGGGTACAGACTTGGCACATTGCAGGCAATGGAAGGGATGTGTTGGCATGGGTTCATCCCCGCTCCACCTCCACCAACTTTTTATGGCTCGATGTATCACCTAAGGCTGAGGCTGAGGAAACTTGCTGTTGGAATGTTCTAGGGCCTGTGTGGGTTTGCCTGTAGGGGGAACAGGAACTGCATCTGGCACCTTCACAGAGAGGGGACAGTTTTCCCCTCCATTCTCAGAGGCTGGCAGCGGAAGCGCCATCTGCATGGTTCTTTGAGAAAGGCAAAGGGCTCCCCCACACTGGGGGCTGGGCAAGGAGAGCCAAGGTGGGGTCCTGATGCTCCTCTGGGCAGGGCAGCCCCACACACCAGGCATGGAATTTAGTGACTGCTCAGAATGGGTGTGCCAGGAGCAGCAGGCCAGCCACACAGCCATCCCTGGGTCTGTGGGGCCAACCTCGCCAGCGCTCCTGGAGACTGTGCGGTGGGAAGCCAGGGAGGAGCTTGTGCAAGCCCACAGGTGCCTTTTTCCAGGCTACACTGCTGCCTGTCCTGACAGCCGCGGTGACCTCCTCCAGCCCCAAAGTGGACACACACCTCGCCTACATCCTGGGATAGGCATGAACCAGCTGTGCACGCAAGGCAATGAGGAGCAACATTTTCCACTTCCTCAGAACTGACAATTTCATTCTTTTCAAAGAATATATATATATTTTTTCATCTTCTCTGTCCTTTCTCTGCTGTTTTAACTGAGGTACCTCAAAGATCAAAGGTGGGTGGAAGGAAGTGCTTATTTGGATTTCCTGCCAAGTCTCCCTGCCTTGTTTGCCCTATTTTTTACTTAAGCAGCCTATCCCCAGACAGCTCTGCCACAAAGGGAAACTCCCCAAGTGTCCGCAAGAGTGGGTGGGGGTTGTTGGGGCAGGAGAGGGGAAGGCAGGCTTCTCAGCTTGTCCCCCTCCTGCTCCAGCAAACTGAAGAAAGGCCGGGTAGGAGGAAGGGCCTGCTGGGTGCAAGGAAAACAAAGGCAATTTTACCCACAGCCCAGCAAAGGCAAAGGTGGCCTCATCCAGCAGCTGCTTTCCTAGAAGAGCCACGGGCCCAGGAAGCACCCACATGCCCCAAAGATGAAACAGATCTGCGACAAACAAGCCCAGCAGCCCAACAGGGATCAAATCTGTTACAGTTCTTGGGCCGTTTGATCCTCACGAAAGCCCTAGCAGACAACAGTGCTTCCATTTTACAGATGCTGAGAGACCTCAGTTCACTTGCATAATAAGTTCCCCCAGCTAGTTTATGCAGCAGCAGGAATGCCTGCTCAGGGCCGGGTGAATTTCCATCTGTTCTCCTACTTTTATGACTTATCTCTTCAATCTTGGCAAGTGACTTAGCTATTGACTTTCCGTCTGGACTTGCCTGCCTCACCTGTGGCCCTGGTGTTTATGGCCTCCTCACTATTTCTGGGACCCCTGAGGTTGGCTTCATTACTTGCCTTGAAAATATCAGCACCCTCAC